GTTATGCATTATTTGAAATGAGATGTTTAAGCCCTTTGGGGTAGAAGCCTTTGCTTTAACCTTTAGCTAATAACAGCCTGCTGAAATGAGATGGTTTTTCACTGTAACATCTCAGACGCTGCAATGGTACAGAAGCTACGGAGACTGACTCACATCTGCACAGCACAGGTGAACTTCCCCTTAAATGTACTAATGAGTTCACGTGATAATCATCCACTCTCACAGGGAAGACAGCCCTGCTATTTTGTGTTATCTAAGTGAAAAAAAATAAGTGGTGTCAGAGATCCTACCAGGCAATAATTCAGATAAAACCATCATTTCCTTTCATGTGTGTCAATAACGAAGCTGCTGCAGTGCTGAGAAGGCACCAAACCGAGCCAAGGCTGCGGTGGCACCACAAGGAGCTGCACCATCCGAAACTACCCCCTGTGCTGTGATGGGTTTTGTGTTACCACTATTTTACTCTGATGTGATACAGCCAACAGGGGAAGGCTGACCCCGAGCACCTTGGAAATTGTGAAAAGTGAGGAGCTGTGTTTGTTCCTGCTGCACCAAGTGGATTAGCCGTTTATGAGAGATGCCTTATACTGAGCCTGTAAGAATGGAGGCAGGACATTGTGCAGAATGACCATTTTTCCCACCCACGGCAGGCACATCATTACAGAAAGGAAACAGTATCTTTCAGGACCAAACATAAGCATCCCTCAACCAGCAGGAAATAACAAACTTTAAATGATTGTTTAAGCTGTGGTTTTATGTCAGGATGTATTTGCGTCACCACTGCCCAACAAAATTTGTTTGCACTAAATGTCTCTGAGGTCTTCTGCTGTCTACCTGCTTCCTTCAGATGTCCATGGAGGGTGCCGCCAGAGCCCCCTGATGTGTTGGGGTTTTTTTGTGGATTTTCCCTGCAGATAGGCATCCTGTTTCTTTGTGGTAATTCAGGACTCACAAATGTCACACCTTTCACAGCCTCCATTTCCAGCGCTTTGTGCTCAGCTTCCCAGCTCAGGCACACTGAAACTCTAATCTTCATTATCTTCTTGTGAGGTCCTTGCAAACAGCATTTGTTTCATTCTAGGAACCAGTTGCATCCTGTGCGCCAGTTAATTTATTTGGAGGAACACTGATTGATCGAGCTCAGGTTTCTTATCTTTCTTCCGCCCCGGTTTGTGAATTGTCTTCTGAAAGGTTTCTCATGGGGCTTCCCACCGCACAGCTATCTATCTCACCTGTTTGTGGAGTCTGCAGGTGTCTCCCTAGCAATGCCATGAGCATGTAGTCACGTCTGGACCACAGACCCTCAAATGAGCTTTGTTGGAGCCTGTGGCTCCTGCTCCGATCTGTGCTGTGCTGGAAAGCACTGCACACCCTCCATCCCACACCCCCCAAGCCCACCAAGGGCTGAGCCCACCACCCCTTCTCACCCTCTGCTTGCTGCTGGGGATGGAGCTCATGGCCATCATGGTGCAAAACACACCATTTCAAAGCTCGTTTTGAAAATACCCGCAATCCAGGTAAGCAGCATGTTTGCCTTTGAATGTGTTTTTTTTCTCAGAAGACAAAAGCAATGACCATTAACAAAAACAAATCGCTGATGTTTTTCATTCAGACGGGACTCTAATCCCTTCTAAGGGCACCCGAGAGCCATTAACAGTAATTTTAAATGAAATACACCCGTGCTAAGTCTAACTAATCAGCTCCTCAATTATACTGGCAGAAAGATGTATTCCAATTACCAAAGTACTTTCAAGTGAATTAAGACTCCTTTCTGTACCGGCTGTGGAGGTCACTCAATGTTCCCAAGAATTGCAGTGTGTTTACATTAAAAAGAGCACACCATGATCTTTGGCAAAGGCACTTGCTCTAGGCTAGTCCAGCTTTGAGCTTGTTGCCATAAATACAATAGAAAAGCAGTCAACCGTTGCAAAAGAGGCCAAGAATATCTTACAATACTTTCTTTCTGTATCAGCGATTAATCCAAATTGCACAGGAAAAGCTTTATAAACATGAAATAACATTTTAAAAGACAAAAGTGCAAACACCTTATTTACCATATTTAATAAGCACAGTGTTGGTGCTAGAAAGGCAGGTAGGCTTTGAAGGAAGGAAACATGCCCAGTTCATGAGAAAAATGTTCCCAACTGGGACCAGAACTGACTTCGGCGCCTGCTCAGCCTATGTCTACACCACTTCCTTGGATCACTGAAATTTCTCCTCCATAGGAGTGCAGGGGACTATGGCTTTATAAGGGGCATGGCCAGTGTGGCTGCAGACCCCCACTCGTCCTGCTTCCCCTTGGCCAAGCACTGCAGGTGCTCTGCACCCCCCCAGCTTGCTCCGGCCTCTGTTTTATACCGTAATAGTTCCCCAAATCAAATGCTCCAGAGCCCACGTCGTTGGCTTATCAAACAATAAAGCCTGCAGACCAGGAGAGCCACTTTTCCAGTGATAATACACTCAGTTGGTTTAACAGGAGTTTATGTCTTACATTTAAATGCTCACTGAAATATTAAAACATAGCAAACCAGAACATTTGTTTCCCAGAAATAGAGAAAAATCTTAATTATTACATGATGCCAAGTAAAATGGCCGTAAAGACACTGAGAAAATGGGTGATGAGATCTATTTTAGACCTTAGTCTAGACCCCAAACTACTCCATGTTCACTCCTGCAGATTAGAGGATCTGAAAGCCAAGGAGCCTGCATCCCCATGGGAAAGGGCATAAAGCTCTAATAGAAAAAACAACCATTTTATTTCAGATTTTTAACATAAAACCTGTGAGGAGCTATCATTTTTGGTGAACTATCAAAATGCACATATTCTTCATTTCCCCTTACGCCAACTCACTGTGCAGAGCTGAGCGTCCATGGCAGCTTTTCCCACACGTGCTTCCATGGTCCTCTGCAGGAGCAGGGGTGAATCAAGCCTCAAGCGCCAGCCCCAGCCCGAGCAGTCACGGTGCCACTGGCACGGGACCGGGCACAGGCTGAGATCTGCTCCCAACCTGCTGGGCACAAGAGAGCAGTGGCATCTTCTGGTGCCCTCACTCAGCTGCACTGCTGTCTTCGGGTTTACTTTCTTTCCAAAAGCCCCTGTTGGTGCTGGGGAGCGTGTCAGGGAATGAGTGGTGACAGGTGTTTCCTCTGGGTGATAGCTTATGGAATCACAGAATCACGGAATTTTTGTGCTTGGAAGTGACCTTTGAGATCATCAAGTCCAACCACAAAAAACACCCCAAAAAAACCCACCCACCACATCCACCCCACACCCACCCACAAACAGACACAAACCAATAATCTCGGGCACTAGAGCATGCCCTGAAGAGCCACGTCTACACGTTTCTTAAATCCCTCCAGGGGTGGTGACTCCACCACCTCCCTGGGCAGGCTGTTCCAGTGCCTGACCACTCTCAGTAAAGTAATTCTTCCTAATATCTAATCTAATCCTCCTCTGCTGCAACTTCAGACCATTTCCTCTGGTCCTGTCATTATTCACTTGGGAGAAGAGGCCAACCCCCACCTCTCTACACCCTCCTTTCAGGTAGTTGTAGAGGGCAATGAGGTCTCCCCTCAGCCTCCTCTTCTCCAAACTAAACATGCCCAGTTCCCTCAGCCTCTCCTCATATGACTTGTTCTCTAGAAAAGTCTCTAGACAAGTCCCTCACCAGCTTGGTGGCTCTCCTCTGGACACACTCCAGCAGCTCCTTCCTGTAGTGAGGGGACCAGAACTGAGCACAGTACTCAAGGTGAGGCCTCACCAGTGCCGAGTACAGAAGCACGATGACTTCCCTACTCCTGCTGGCCACGCTATTCCTGACACAGGCCAGGATGCCGTTGGCCTTCTTGGCCACCTGGGCACACTGCTGGTCCATGTTAAGCCGGCTGTCCACCAACACGCCTAGGTCCTTTTCTGCTGGGCAGCTTTCCAGCCACTCTTCCCTGATCATAATTGTTCATAATTGTTACACCCCATCTTAGGTGTAGTTCCGTAAGCTTTAATAAAGAGCAGACAGTTACAGCTCAGCTCTGAACACCTTGGTTGCAGCCCCTCAGGCTTTTCCAGCAGAGCTGACTCCATCTCTCTCAAATCTTCAAGCGGGGAGAGCTGTGAAGTGAAGGTTTCACTGAGGAATAGCTGTTGAGAAGCAACGCAAGGGAAGGACTATTTTCTCTGCCTGGTCCGTGCTGTTTCGTGTCTCCACCTAACTCCTTTTTTGCTTCTGGCCACGGCACCTATGTGTCCGATGCAGGTTTTCTGCACTATCCAAGCCTCACCACAACCAAGCAGGGAAAGAGTTTATTAGCTAGCTGGTTTGATCTGCCTTGCTTAAAAAAAAAAGTAGTTATTTTTAGTTAATATTGTAATAAAGCCTGATTGTTTCAGGGCTATAAAAGCCTCCTGGGTTTCTGGAGTCCCTTCAGGAGAAAGGTGGGGCAGGCCGCCTCAGCTCCCCTTGCCTCGGGCACAGCTGGCAATGGAAATAACTCCCTCCTGAGGGCTAGAAAAGCTGCAGGTCCCTGAGGTGAAAAGCCCTGGAGAAACGCCAGGAAAGGGACACAAGGAAACTTTCAGAAACCGCCCCCGGTCATGCTACTTCCCTCACAGGCAGCGTTGTGGAATCGGGTCACCACCTCCCACTCCTGCGAGCTGCTGACCTCCTTATTTCAGAGTCAAAGACCTCACCAACCATGTTTTGATATACCAGGTTGTGCTTCTTATTACCTAACATGCAAAACTGTCATTTCTTTTTCCTCAAAAGCCACATCTTTGGAGACTTCCACATGACCAGGACAGTAGGTGACAAACTATTGTCTAGTATTCCTACACGTGCCCATTGCTCAACATAAGGAGCAACGTCCTCTCCGCAAAGCATCCTCACAGGTGAAACTTCACTGAAAAATGCAGGTATGGATGGAAGTAGCACAGAAGTGTTATTACTTGGAAAAAAGAAAAGGCAGAACCGAAGCAGAAATTTAAAAAAAAATAAAGAAATGAGTTTGTGTAGAAAGGCTTTTTATTTTGAAAATTTTTTCCAAATTTTCGAAATACAGTGTAAAGTACAACATAGAATTATGTCTGCAAGTCAGCTTATGCATGTCATGCCAGTTATTTACATGTAGGTATATACAGAGTGCAGATAATTATTGAAACCACACTACAAAATAAACAGAGAGTTCAGTAAGATAATTTAGTAGAACTTTATTAAATATATATAGTTATTGATTGTATATACTTTCCTATTAAAATACCATATAGTATCTAAAGTAACCCCTATAAACTCTAATACCTCCAAAATTGTCATAAATATGATTGAAAATTGAGACTACCCATGTGCCCTGTTCAGCTGCTTTGCCCTTTGCTGCAACAGAAACTCTTGTAGTGCTGAAATCACGGTGCTGTCTTTAGTGTCAGAACTTTAATGATAATTCCCAATAAAACAATTTGCAAAAAGCTCAGATGCAGAATAGCTTTTAGCCGAGACATCCAAGGGTTGAAGCACCATTCCCTATACTTAAAATAACAAGGACAGTCCAATGCCTTATTAAATGCTGCCACATACAGGACAAGAAAAACAATGCTATGATCATCAGTGACCGAATTACAACATTGAATTAGTAGCTGTTTGGATACCAAGCACCTTATTAAAACAAAAGAAAGCAAACTCCCAAAGCCCATGCAAAATCTTATCCAAAATAAAAGACCTCCCAACCTGTGCTGAAACAGCCTGATCAACAGCCTGACTTTGGCATGAGCAGGACCTGGAAGGACCACGGCGGCAGCGGCAGTCGGGGCTCTGTGACCACAAGCAACAAGACTGAACTTTGCCAACAGCTTGATCTCTGGTAATTGAATGATTCATACAGGGCACTCTGCAGAAAGAATGGGTAAGGCCAAGCTGTATCATATGTTAACCCATCAACAGAATATTCCTTTTACTTTCTGGGGGTTTCTGGCCAGCAAACCCTCACTGTAAATTGCCAAAGGTCTGTCTTTGACTTCGCTAGAGCTTTGTGAGTTTCCATCAGAGGAGAAGATCTACCCCAGTCCGGAGGATGTGCTCCCCTACTGGGATTTCTCTTCCTGCTGCTCAACCCAAAATTGCATAAACTGCTGCCTTAGGAAAAGAAGTATGAAGAACAATATGCTTTTTAGTTTAATTATTTATTCTGATGCAATCTTATTAAGTAGAAAACAGATCAGTGAAGAAATGTAACAAAAAAATCCAATTACTGCCATACAGTGCTTTTTTTTGTTGTTGTAATTATTGTTCTGAACTGCTGAATTTTGCAACTTTTCCTCTCCTAACATGTCTTTCCTAAAGGCACATTACAATTCAATCCAATTACAGGCAGAGAATAGAGATTAGCACTAGAAAACATATAAAAGGAAAATAACTTACTATTACTATCATAGAATAGCGCTGGTCAGCAAAACTGTGCATCATTTTTTTCCAGAAAAAAATTGAGCAGTGAACTTTATAGATTAGTTAGGGACATAAGTGATAGCTATGGTTTAATTTAAGAGTTTTTTTACATAGAACTCTAAATGCCAACATATGGCAAGGACATTTTAACACTGAACTCATAGGAATTACATCAAAAATATTTTTTCATCTTTAGCATCATTAATAAAAAGTGTGAATATAAAATATTAATATACTTTACATATTTATCATACAATATATCAGTCCTTCACACTATTAATTTGATTCATGTTGTGCTGCAACATGTATCAAAGGCTTTAACAAAGAAAAAAGGTGGCTAATTACATAGGTTGTGAGTACAGACATGATTTCCACAAGACAAACAGCAATCACAATGTGTCATCTACTTAGAGTTCTACAGTGATATTTGGAAAAAAACTGCTGCATCCTTTTAGGAAGGATAATAATAATAATAATAAAAAATTGCGCAACCTTTGCTTATAGAGTGAATCTGACTTTCATAAAAAACAGTAAATCAATACTATGAACTAATTTAGTTCAGCTTGCCTGATTTTCTGGTAAGGCACTATCAAGATATTCTATCTTCATTTAAATGCTGCATGAATTTCTGATCCTTTCCAATTATCAGAAGGAATTCTTGGTCAAGCCTGAGAGTATCATCATTAGACAAGCTTTGGTGCTGTCCTCTTCCCCATGTCAGTCTTTGAACACCTACTTACTTAACTTTCCAGTCCATTGTGCAGCTTGTGGTAGAGATAAACTCCCTCCTGCACAGCCAGGGAAGAGCTGGGGCATCCACAACCCAGCAGTGAGATTACACACAAAGTGCTTGTTACGTACCGCAGAGGAGAAGAACAGAAAAAACATAAAATGCTTGAAAAAGTGAAAAACCTTACTCAGCTCACTGAGAGTGAGTGGTTCACTGGAATTAAGAATGGGCGCAACCTTTTGCAGACAGAAATGCCATTTTAAAGCTAAGCTACTTAAAAATATTTGCTGTGACCATCATGGCTGGTTCAGAAGAAGGGCCTGAAAAAGGGCAGAGTCCTGCCGAGGAAAACACTGATTTGTTCTGTGAGCAGCAGAATGAATGGGATCCAGTTTCTTATTAAGTTGTCTTTTGCAATTCAATTGTGTGTCTAAGGTGAGATGAATGCCTGGGAACAGACAGAACACCTCTCCACCACAGGGATTACTCGGGGTCTTTCTCCAGCCTTTCCCTCAGCACTTACAGACTCCACTTACTTAATCTGCAACTGAACTTTGCATTTGTACAAATTTTTAAATGAACGTGGCATCTTTGAGTCTTCTAGCTTGCACTAAGATCAGCTGGTTTCAAAACATAATATTGGAGAATACCAAGACATATATACAGGCTGTAGTATTACCTAAGACTAGTTTATTTCCCCCTTCTTTTTAAATGAGGCTAAAGCAAAGCAACTAAGAGCAAGCATTTTCTATTTCATTGTTTCTCAAGAATTACATGACAATTACATTCCTCCCAAGAGGTATAAGAGGTCATAAAAGGATGTTCAGCAAAGGTCTGTTTGCCACTGACCCCAGTGCAATAGATAGAAGTGTCTTCTTCCCCAAATCACTGTATTTCTCTTCTCTGCCTGGGTGAGACGTGCTGGGCTTCCAGCCTCTGCTCAAAGCTCTGCCTCCCTGCTCCTTTCTGCCTCCAGCAGCACTCCTGGGAAAGTCACCAGAGGTAAGATTTTTGACATTCTGCAATTTTTGGATTGTGAAATACAACAAAACCACAACCAAAAACATGTTATCTCAGGGCAATGGCAGTTTCAGGCATAGCTTACATAAGAAATCTTGGCTTGCCTTAAAAATAGAAAAGGCTCAATCTGATGAGAAAAGCCCTTTGCTTCCTTTCCCATCTGCTCTGGGTAGATTAGATGTCTGCCTGTGACAATGTCTGGGACAACTCTTCACCACAACACGCTGAACACAGTCTGGTCTCAAGGTGAAGTGAAACATGCTTTGGGACTTCAATGAAACTGTTTAGAGTGAAGGAAGAACCCAGATAACTCAGTCGCTAATTCAAGGGATCTGCCCTCAACTGCCTGCAGTCAGTCTTGCCCAGACTCCCCCTTCCCTTTCTGCTTCCCTGATCACTTGACACTTCAATTAGCAAGAAGGATCCTGAAGGTTTTTGCCACAAGCCTGAATCTGAACACAGAATTGCTCTGCAGAAAGCATGCACTACATACAAGTAAAGAAGGTTCTGACGTGCTTCTTTAAGTTGGCAATAAATCTTATTTTCTAATTTAAAAAAGAAAAAGGCTATGGAAAGATAAAAAAGAAGCAACTAAAAGACTACTGATTTTTTAGTCCTAACAGAAGTTCTTTCTTAAACTTTCTAGAAATAGTGTACAACTTAGAAATCAGAAGACACATACATTGATTTATGTTTCTGAAGAAAGAACTTATCCTTGACAGGTCTACGAAATGATGAATTCCTTCTGTAGCACTAATGCTGGTGAATTTCTAATATGGAGCTTAAGTATCTTGGTTTTCAACCGAGCATGGTAATAGCTAAGGAAGCAGGGCAAGTCTTCCCTCAAGGTGTGCAAGAAAGATGCTCAGATTTAGAAAGCTGCTTATGGTTTTGGAGGTTTTTTGAGTTTGGGTTTTTTTTTTAAGTCCCACCAGGAGCAATCGATGGGCCTTTATAAAACTTTTGAAAAGTAAGGCTTTTTTATTCTGTGGAAGGGGAGAAATCTTTATGAAATAGTTTAGCAGAAGTCAGGAGAAATAATACTAAATACTTTTATTGCTACATGGAGCTTTCAGCATTCATAGCTTATAAAATTAGCTACTTCACAGGCCATTTGTCTTATTTGCAACAGAAAAAGCTGGAAAAGGACTTGGTTACAATTTATCTCAGGTTTCAAAACATACTGCTGTTTTTCACTGTTCACTTCACATTACTACTAATCATTCCAGATTCAGCATCTCCCTGTTTTCTACAGATGCTGTTCTGAGATACACTTAGAATATTGTCCCAATGACAGATATCATAAAAACAAAAGTTGTTAATAATATCTATAATGATATAGAAAGGAGGAAATAAATCTAAGAAGTATTTGAATGAAACATTCATTAAACATATCACATTTTGAACGAACACTTAATGCTCAGGCAGTGTAGAAACTGATTTCATCATCAGTTGCATAAATTCTATAACATATTGTAATCTCAATGACTAACAGAAGTCAAAACTTCTGATTTATGGAAAACTCATTTCTTATTTGAAATGATTAGGACTAATTTTAGAATCAAGTTTTCTAAGGGAGAATTCAGATCACAATAGAAGCATTACTTACATTACGAAAAAAAATACAATTTTTCATATTAAAAACTATAGATTGCAAGCAATGTCATAAAGTGCATTGCCTCTAAATTTTACACTTCCTAGGACCTGAAGGTCTGCAGCTAAATGGCAACTTTTTTTTATTTTATTGCTCTAGTGTTCCTTACCCATAAAAGAAGAACAGAACAACCTTTTGCAAACAATGGAAGTTATTTAAACAGAGTACCATCTTCAGTACAAAAACTGTTAACTGTTTCATCACATTCTGTTCCGTTGATAGGGAGCTGTGTAACCTGCAGCTGCAGTATCTGAAGGAAACCTACCACTCAGCTAACGGGCTGATCCCATATCTGTGTCAGATAAAAATCATAGTGCTTATTATTTGTTACCATGGATACCATGAAGATATAGCTGTCCACTAAAGATTACTAGAGGAAGACAACATAATTCTCAGGAACGAGTCCTGTTTTGCCTTCATAAGTTGCTTTTAACCAGCCTGGTTCCACTGATGGATACACTGCAAAAAAAACCAACAAACAAAATAAACATATAAATAAAACATATTTACAATAAATTAACACTGTTAAAAGATCTTATATATGGCTCATATATTTATTTAGACAGTATTTATTCAAGAGCAATTGAAAAGTCAGGGCGAAAGATGAGACCTTAAAGTGGAATTATACTCTATTATCTTGTGGATATAATTCAGTTTTTATTTTTTTTTATGTAAAAAGAGAATGTAAAACATATCTTACCATTGGAAAATATTGCCCCTTGTGGGAAAGACAGCTCATGACTATGCTCAGCCTTACAGGAATACATGGCTTTTGCTTGTCTGGAAGGAAAGAAAGGCTTTCAGGCTCCTGGGCAATTTTTTTGTGTGCAATTATGAAAATGGACATTCTTACTTACAGTTCCCCTCCCCCCCCCAAACAAGGCTGTTTGTTAAAAAGAATGGGATAACATCACCATCATCTATTATGGTTCTCTCTTATGATGATGCTAATAATCTGAGAAGAGTGTGATTCATGTTGTTTAGTGCAAAAAAAATAACTTCAGAAAATGGTACCCACATTTCATAGAAGTTCCTTCTTTCCATGACTTTACTGGATAGAATCCAGATGAGAAAAAAATGTATTTTCCCTTTCACTACTTTTTATTAAATTTGTTTTGAGCCCATAACAGTAAACTTATGCTAGCAGTCAAAGGGTCAGTACCCATCAGATCATAACATTTTTAATGAGGCCTTTTTAATAATGACAATAATAACAACAACAATAACAACTATTATTATTACTTATTATTATTATTAAAGTTATAAATAAGCTTTAAAACTATGCTCCTGCCCTAATGACTTTTCGGTCTAGCAAGACAAAGACAGAAGCCAGAAGAGGAATGAATGAGGGAAAACACAGGAATCTGTGTTTTCAGATGACTCATCAGTTGGTATTATCCTACAGGAAGAAGAAAGGTTTATAGACTCCTGGAGATGGCAGACTCACAGCCAAGCTTGACTGAGTAGAAAACACTCATATGGTCTGGGCAAGGCATTCCAGGTGTTTAAAGAAACGCAAAATATAGCATGAAAATAAAAACATAAGAATGACTGGGGAAGGATACATATACATAAGACTTTAATAGGAGTATGGTAGGGAGGGGAGCACGGGTCTACAGGGCTTCACACCATCAGGCTACTCCTATTAAAGTCCCAGCCCAGCACCTAGAGATCCTGCTGCCAAGCCAAAGCTGCCTGATGTCACCAAACTCCTTCCCATTTTTCTAAGCATTCTTTTCTAATGAAAAGCCTTCTTCTTATAATGCAGTTTTCACTTTATGTGAGAAACTTACTGACTTTCTGTGTACCTCTAAATCAAAGGGATTATGGACTTGGTATATTTTTGTACAGAAGCTGCAGTCAAGACAACACAGGCCTTATTAAAACTGTTGGATAACTGCAAATTTAGTGAAAGCGGTAAGAAAACTCCTTCGCTTCTTTCAAGTGCATACTAGATTAGCAACGGGAATTGGTCTCAGTGTAGACATCAGTTTAATACCACAGTCTGGGAGATGGATGATTAATAAACTTGAAGTTGAGAGACAAAGGAATGGGAAGACCAAGAAGTCAAAGTAATTCTGGAATTGGAAAAAGAGAGCACAGGTTGCACAGGGCACAACATTTTGGTCTTCCCTGTAGAATCCTAGAGCATGTACTGTGGCCTCTCATTCTCTTTCTGACTAAAAGAAATCTGTCCAAACTGGCAGTGCTATGGTGTTATGAACTCATGTATACAAGGAGAGAAAACAGCCAGGTCAAGTAGTGTCCCAGCGTTAAAAAAAAAAGGGACGGACGCACACTTGTAATAGAGATATTGCATTATATAAGGTCAGAAAGCAGGGTTGCAAAGATTACTTGGAAGAAAGAATTAAGTAAGACTGGGCCACTGTGGTGGCAAAGCATTGAGTACAAATTATCTGCTGAAATACAGATGACAATGTGACACTGCAAACCGTATCAGTACTTTTGATCCATCTGCTGTACAAATGACCATAACAGACAACAAGCTTCAAGGAGGAATGAAGCTACTTAGATACTACACTACATAGGTAAGCAGCAGCTTAAAATTTCAAAACTAGTTATTTTTAGCAGGGTAAATTACCCCTGCACAAAAAAGTTCAACGCTATCTTGACTTGAGTATTTCTGGTATCAAACCAAACAGCTTTAAAACAGTTTATCTGTCTTACACTCTGTCCTGCATATATTCATAAGATAGTGGAGTTATGAACTCAGGTGGCTTTTCTGCTGGGTGGATCAAGATGTAATTACCATTATTTGCAGATGCTTCAGAGAAAAAAAAAAAAGACTATCTCAAAGTTTCAAATCAGCCTTCATGTTCATAACATGGATGAGAGGTAAATAAAAGCTGGCTCTAAATTGCAAAATCTTACTTGGACTTGAGCAGCACTATAAGAACAGCTGAGCTACTTCTTCTTTCTTCCTCATTTTGCCTGCTCTCTTCTCGTTTTCCACTCTCCTTGTTACTGTTGCTCTTCTGCTTTCTTAGGAAGGCTGAAGTAGAGTAGCTATTAAACCTTTCAGTGTTTTCGGCTTTGTTATCTGCTCTCTATATCCATTATCAAACTGCTACATTTTTTCCTTTGTCAGATTTTTGCTTCTTACATGCTTTTTATATACAGATACATGTGGCACAGGCTCCGAGGGAACAATGGGAGAGTTTAGAAGAAGGGAGCAATACACAGTAAGAGAAGGAACAGTTGGTGGAGGTGAAATGATGCAGGACTGGTGAAGCAGTCATCACTCTCAGCTTAGGGCACTGGCTTAAGAACATTCCAGTCTCTTCATTTATACTTGTCTTCTTTAAATTAATACCCTGCTGTTTTCATCTCCTTTGCCCCCCTGCCACCCTCTTTTTGGGTCACCTTACAGTTCATGTACTACACAAAACAAGAACAGCCTTGATTAATTTAAGTTGCTTCTCAAACAAAATCAGTGGGCCTTTTGCAGGTCAGCTTTCTCCTTCTCGTCCCTGCTGGATCTGCCAGAGAGGACAACCATATTCCACTGCTGCATATCTCAGCACATGCTGGCATCTTCTTTGGCAGCTGTGCTACTTTAGATTACTATTTTTGGATTCATGGGTTAAGGGTTTTTTTGCCTATTGCTTGACAGTTCCAGTAAGCTTGACAATTCTTGGAAGCTTGACAGTTCTTGGTATCAGTGAGTAAAGTGATGGACAAAAAGATACGTTCTGTCTCAGAGAACTTGAAATGCAGGGACAGTGAAAAGGCAGACTTTTCCCAGCATCCATTTATTTGACTATATGCCCTAGCCTATTACATGTAGACTGGTTAGTAATGTATGGAAGATACTGCTTCCTAGACGAACACTTATCAGAACGTTCTAATTTAATATAAGAATGAATTAAATCCACTAAATAAATGCATGAAGAAAGGGGAACAGTTTCTCCAGACAGATATTGAGGCATGGAAGGTGTGATGGAAAAGACAGGAATCCTGATCACGTTAATCCTGCACATTCTAAAGCAGCTATTATCCAGGACTTGCCTGCATAAGCAAATTACCATAAACTAGCAAGTTTGCTACTCTGCTGAAAGCATGTATACACAAACAGCTGTATGGAATAAGTACAGCACCCTCATCCTAATTAAAATCCTGTTAATTTACTCTTATAGCTGTGTCCTTAAGCAGATGACTAAGCAAGCTGAGCATCTCTCACTGCAATTCCCTGAGGTGACAGAATAGCCACATAGGCTGGTATTCTCTGTTACGTTTAGTTTTCTCCTGGAGCAAGGATGAGTTTAATAAACTATACAAAATTTTTGAATTTTTGCTGTCCAAAAGACACAGAACAAAGCTCCAAAATTTCATTTCAATCTTTGAAGGCAGCAAAACAGAAAGGATTTTAGAAATTGTTAAATACTATGAAGCACTTACCGTCCTGAAGAAACTTGTTTAAGTGAACCAGCACTTTCAAACAACTGGGCTCTTGCAGCCACTCTGAAAAAAAAGCACCACCTTGCTTTATAAAAGGCCCATTAATAAACACACATTAATAAACTTCACTTTTAATCATCTAAAGATGTGGACACATTTTCAGAAGTTGTTTTAATTATTTACTTAGAGAAAGAGAGGAAATTCAAAAGCTGAATTTAAGTTCTAGAATTTAATTCAGCAGAGTTCTTAAGGGCACAATCTAACTGGGGCCTCACTTCCAGATGCTCCAGTGCCTTGCTGAGTCATCAAGGGAAATCTCTAACACTCTATACTTAAAATTTTCTCTGTGGATGGCCAATAGATATACTGGAAATGCTTTCACTGCCAGCCTGTCACCATCATGCTGGAACTTTGAGCTGTGTGGGATTCTCTGTGTAAGATGCAAAAATCTGCAATGACTACAGTGATCCCTTCCAGTTTTAGAAGTGGACAGGGTGGATGGAGTCCTGCAGTATTTGGAGAACTTCTTGGTGCTCTGCAGATCTGGAAATCTCTTGTTCATGGGGACAGAGAAATTCTGAGTCATAGTCAGGATTACAGCAAAGACCATAGAATCATAGAATCATAGAATTGTCTAGGTTGGAAAGGACCTTTAAGATCATCTAGATCTAGATCTTCTGACTCTTAAGTTTGTGCAAAAAGCACTGAGAAACATTGCTAACCCAAATCTCAACGAGCTAAATTAACCTCTATTGCTTAGAATTATCCTCTTTCCGAAGTACCCATGCCCTCCAGAGTACCCCCACATAACCAACTGTTAATAAAAATGAAGATATCAACTGTTTAACAGGCAGCAGTCAAAGAAATTTCAGAACAGAAGTTTGGGTTTGGGTTTTTTTTCTCCTTACTCCAATTCTAGACTTACACAAGTAAGATCTATTGATATTCTTGACATAACAGCATGGACAGTAAGTAGCATTTATGCACATTGAAACATTATATTCCAGAAGAGCCAGAGATAATAATACTAATGACTTTCCAAAGATACATTTCCTCATTATAGACCTTATCTGTAGTCTAATGAAGTCAACGGGAGTCTTTCAACTGACTTACCAGACTTTGTGCCATGTCTCCTTTGTTTACAATTTTAATGAAGCCAGATAAATAATTCACAAATACAGAAATTTTCAAATCAAGTATTCATGGATGCTTTTTCAACTACTTATGTAGCTCTCTGTGGTCACCTTATAGTAGACAATACTGTAACAACATGAATCTCCAAAAGGCTTTGATGACTTACACAGATCCCGGTCTTTGATAGCCATTACTTGATGCAGTATCTAATCTTAGTCTCCTGCACATTTTGGGAGGCAAATCAGGGTTTGGGGGAGCCTTTGGTGTATCTTTGGTATCTGTTGAAGATAAGCTCTGTATAGATCCACTGCAGCTTTTGTTACCTAAAGAAAACAACCAAATTATAGGGAATATTAAAGCTGATTTCAAGTTGTTTCACAACATGTGTAACATGTAAAGTTGTTGTTGTTGTTGTGTGGTTTTGGTCAGTTCTGTTTTTGTTTTTTTAAAGAGGAAAAATAGGTAGAGAAAGTACTTACTAAGACAGAGAAGAAACAGCCTTTCAGGCAGAAAGCCAGGAGAAAAGGACCAACAGCAAGAATGAAAAAATGACATTAAAATTTTGAAGGCTAAAAAAATAATTGCACTTAAATAGCTAGACAGTACATTCAATAAAAAGTGACAACAAAACCAACTTTTATAAAGTAGCACACTGCACAGAATTGTATAAAAAAATTCATGTTGGAAGGGATCTCAGGAAGTCAGCTAGTCCAAATTCCTGCTCAAAGCAGCATCCACTATGAAATCAGACCAAGTTAATTTGTAAGAATTAATATTTCAGTATCCACAGAAGCTTAGAAAAATAGTTTAGAAAAATACTTAGGAATTAATGGTTATGAGTTGACTAAAACAATTGCTACAGTAACTTGATAAAACAAAACTATAGCTGTACAGACTGTATTGCCCACAAAAAGAGTCCTTTTAATGAATACAAGGCATGGCCACATGTGTCCTTTAAGCTGATCTGTCTGTGGACTGCTGCCTTGTTTGCATATATATTCTGCAAGACAGTAACTTCATCTACTTCTGTGTTACTTTATTACTAATAATTGAACTGTACAAGTAAAAAACAATGAGATTATGTCAGAAGCAGTTTGAAAACTGAAAGAATATACTACAAAAATAAATAAATAAAGCATTAATATCAGACGCAGCTCTTGTTTTCTATGTGTCACAGGAAACACTGATGTCCTTAAACACCCCTTGGAAATTACCTTCAGCTGATGGAATTGATCTAAGGGAAGATGCTGAAGACCTTTTCAGCCCAGACAGACTGTAAGAACTCTTTTTGGTCAGGTCTGTTGGTGGAGAGGCATTCTCTGGTCCCGTAACAGAAGCTACACTTTGGCAGTCTGACTCAACATCTGTTTTGGTTGCATCCTCCTTTGATGAGGACTCTGGACTTGTAGTCCAGAGACCTGAACTCTTCTGGCCATTGGAAGAAGGGGGAGAGGCAATCCATGGAATCCCTCCTGATTTCTCCCTGGGCTGTGAGGGTGTGCATTTGGAGGTGCTGTTCTGCTCAGAGGAGTGAGAAGAGAGAGACTCGATGCTGCCCATGGGAGTGCTGTCTGGGCTACTGCTGTACGAGTCACCTAGGGAGGAGGGAGAGAGAGAAAAAAAATTACATTTCCTAATCATGTGCCTTTCTCTCATGCTACCTGTAGCCCCCTGTACCTTACTTATCATCAAATTCATTAATATGTGGTTTCAGAGGCAATGAGCCTTAAGATAAAATATCTATTTAGTTATTCTAAGTTTCACACATATTGCTATCTTTAACCGGGAGCAGCTGCCTTTTGTGGCTATTTCTTTAGAGCTGATTAATGTAACAGGCTACAGGCTAAACTATTTCACACAGAAGTCTGCATTTTAAAAGAGCTGCCTGCAGTACAAATAATCCTTAGAAAATTCAGCAGTTACGATGTTGCAATATCTTTGTGGTGAGTATCTTGCTGGATTTCCATGATAAGGCAAATGTTGTGGTGCTTGTCACACTTATGTTCTTAAATGCATGACTTTATTGCCAACAGGCATTAGATTTGATTTTTGCTTTGGTTACCAAGGTGCTGAGGGTATCTGCAGTCTCTGTAGCACTAGTCCATAAGTCTATCTATAGATACTCTACTTTCTGAGTCATCATACCTTTCATGGAATACCTATCCTGCAGAAGGAAAACTCTTTCCTTTATGCACAACCTGAATGTTGAACATTTGACAAATTTCTTGAATTAGATTGATATTAAAGAAATTTACCTACCTATACAAAAATCTTTGGATTCTGTTTCCAATAATCTTTTTCAACAAAAAGCAGGAATATCCTAAAGAAATTTGGTGATGATATAAAGGTAGGAACACTCACCAGAACTGAGGAAGGACTGGCCTATAATACAGTGAGGACTGAATTATTTTGAAGACTGGGTTCAGTCTAGTGACTCATACCTTGGTTTCTAGTAGGATTTTTTCCCCAAAAACAGTAGTGCTACTGCTACAGTAATGTGAAATATTCTGTCAACTTCTTGCCAAAATTCTGGTATTCCAGATTAGATTGTCCCCCATCTTGCCCCTTGACAGACCATTAGTCCCTTGAAAATTGCAAGACAAGCCTAAATTTGTCAGATGCATTTTCTATAATTTTCTATCCTTGCCTATCATTTGAAACCTAGATCTCATTTTCTCATGAAATTCTCTCACAGAATTCCTTCATTTCTTGCAATATAGTTAAGTGCCCACGCTTCATTTAAACGATGACTTAAAGCCATCTGGTACTTCAGAAATTGCTACTGCCAGAAGCCAAGGCTCTCTCTTGTCTCCAGCCACATCTGGAGATATTTGGCAAGGAGAATAACTCTGATTCTGCCTCTGCTTTCCAGTTTCTTAACTGGAACTCGTATAAGCAAGTGCTGAGCTTGAGGTAACAAGCAAAGCACAAGTGGAGAGCTCTTGGGTCACACCTAGTTCCAATCAAGCTGCTGGCACAAGACGTGTCTGAATGAAGAAGGCTGAGCTTGTGTATGTTCTTCAAAATACACAGAATTGCCCCTTTTATATGCTGGCTTTTATTCATTGCAGCTACACAGTGAAAAATAGCTGAAACTTGCCCAGTTTGTCCTCTGGTGAGTGTAACTGCTGGTTCCTCTGTAACTTCTTATTTGGGCTCCCATGCCATTCACACTGACAATCAATGTGTAGACAGCTATTGCTCTCATTTAGTATTTAAACTCTCATTGACTGGAATTGTATAACATAAACATATGGAAAATGCAGCACCTATGCAAGAGTATATTGAGGATACACTCCCTAACACTACAGACTTCAGTATTATTACAGATCCTTAAGAACAGAGGTACTTTAACTGTGGATTAATTTACTGTACCAGTTTCTTGTAAATCTCCTTGGGGAAGCAAGGGACACAGAAGTTCTTTTGGAAGTCTGTTACAGCAGTGGAACTGTCAACAACTTAATCTTTGCTAAAGTTCCAATACTTCTTACTAGTACAGCCAGTAATTAAAAAAGTGACAGCCCACGAGATGAAAATGAATGAAATGAAACTTTATAATAGTCACATCTCCATGAAAATGAATAAGCATTCTAAGCAGCAATTAATTATAAACATAACTCCCTGCTGTTAAACAGTAAGCCATATGATAAATACCTTTTTCTGCCCAAAACATTAGAGTTTGTTTCTACTCCAGAAAAACTGACAAAGTTTCAGTGGTTTTGGGAACCTAGGCGGTGGCTGACTTTAAACCAATGACCACAGTTTCATGCATGTGAAAAAAGCCAAGTAATAGTTTTGATCTCCTGACCTTGACTGAGTTACATTTATTACAGGAGGAAAGATTCCATTTACAGTTTCCCAACCTTAACAATCATGCTAAAAGCAAGTGAGATGATCTTCATATAATGAACCCGTGAGTTTCAAAGCAGACTGCATTTAGATTAGAATATAAAGTCTACTCTAAATGATTTTTGAACGCTATATGCAATGCAAGACTTGCCTAAAATCAAACATCTTTCCTCATCTGAGAGAAGCAAGAAATGATGTCGTTCAGTAGTGTGGCTCTGACTCACAGAGGTTAAAAATCTGACCAAACCCCAACTGTTATGCTTGCAATTATTGGAATACAAAACTTAATGGATATTATTCAGGAAAGTTAAAAGACAAGACATAGAAGGAAGATAATGAGTCAACAAGGACAAACTTACTGTCAGGATCTGCTAGACATGGTGTGTATCTTCCTTTGGGTTTACGTGAACCTGTGGAGAGACAAATTGCTCTTGTTCTTCTTGAACCTGATCGGGACTGAGGTTGGGGAAGAGGAATATTGGGGTCTGGTGCAGTGTGAAATATCTGCATGATTAAAAAAAAAAAGAGAAGGGAAAATAAATGACAAACAGCAGATGTTCTCTTAACACTTCCATTATTAATCCATTTGTTTTCCTTACCGCTGCACCTGAAATCAATGCTGAAAGTCTCACACATTACAAAAGAGCAAGTTCACAGAATATAAGCTTTGCTCTGATCTCATTTTACAGTCCAAGAACCACAATACTGAGCTGTACTGAGAATTTATACTAAATATAGTAAATATTTTTTCTACAAAAATAGTTTTATTTTCTAAGCACTTGTCAAGAAGTGCTTAATAGTTTAAATTGTGAAACATACAATACATGCTTACAACTAACTCCTGCCCAAGTAATATTATAAAAATATTATAAAAAGATTTTTTTTTTCTCTGTGTTCCTGTGGCAGATTTTGTATGTCACAGAAATTTGTTATAGTTGTAACCTATTACAATTCCAGTATTTCAGAAAAACAATTTATTTTGCCAAATATGTCAAGTTTGATAAGGAACATCATTATGTTCAGAGCATCTCCTGATTTTTATCTTTTACATACCACTGCTACCACTGATCATTTTTGCACTTCATTACTGCAGAAAACCCCCAAATTTTGGGGGTATCTGACTAATGTGATCTGACACAGGTACACATGAGGTTTTGCTGATAAGCACAGCAAGCTTGCCAGCAAGGACAAGACAAAAAGCCCAGTAATTTGTGTGACTTCCACCTCTATCACCTGTTCTGCAATATCCAAGACACAAAGAGTAGAGATCTTGGAAGACGCTAAATACCCTCTTGGATACTTCTAATAAAAATGATAACTGCCTTGGAGGATGAGCGATGCAAAAAATATAACCAAAATATTTGTGTGTGTTTCTTTCAGAAGTCCTTTCTTCCCTGTTCCTCCTAATATTTCTTATGGCATTCTGTGAAAGTGGAATCAGTTCTTTTCAGTTAAGCTACTGAAGGAATCAGAAGTGTCTAATCTCGATAGTGCAGAGAGGGCCAAGTGTTGTATGTTAAAGTACCATGCAACGCCAAAATACATCTCTGCAAGGATTTCTGAACACCCTATCAATAGGGCACTCCCAGGAGAGTACGAACAATGCAAAGATACCTCCATGCCACTCACAGAAGTGGAAGAAAGCAAATGTACTTCTAAGGAAGAAAATACTGTAATGGACATCTTGAGACAGTCCTGAAGTACATTAATACTGTCTTAGGCATTAGTGAGTAAGCACATTGATATAAAATTATTTCTGTAGACAGAGAAATAGAACAAGGGTGATTTTGGTTGTGCAGCCATGGTCTTTGTATTGAATGACCTTGTAATTTTCTGGAGGGGAAATTCAGTGTTGGACACATGCAATACTTATGTTTTGAAGTTAAAGGCAAGGATGTTATCAGTATCATATCAAGTTTGAGAAGTCCCTATGAAATATAGCTGATGATACCAAGCAGTACCGTCAGTACTTACTGACCAACAAGTGCAGGGGAACCTGTTGTTGTCTGGGAACTGCCCCTTAGCTTAGTAATGTGGAAGGGAATAAAACCAAAGGTTTTTCACTCTGTTTTCCTATTCATCACAGGAAGTCATACCTATCAACAATAAATGTCAAAAATAAAACTTCTTTCGATGACCAAGTAAAGGAGGTCTTGACTGTTCTGCTGAGTTCTGAAATCAAATAGTTTAAAAAACCCTGAAATTTGTGGACTCTTTTCAGTGGTTTCCAGTGACAGGATGAGGGGCAACAGGCACAAGCTGGAACACAGGAAGTTCCATTCAAATACGAGGAAAAATTTCTTTATGGTGAGGGTGACAGAGCCCTGGAACAGGCTGCCCAGGGAGGTCGTGGAGTCCCCTTCTCTGGAGATTTTCAAGACCCGCCTGGATGCAGTCCTGAGTAATGTGCTCTGGGCAATCCTGCTTTAGCAGGGGAGTTGGACTAGATGATCTCTAGAGGTCCCTTCCAACTCCGACAATTCCATGATTCTGTGAGGAAGCTTTTCAGTGAAGCTGATACCTGCAATGGTAGTGACTGAGAGGAAGTGTTTAAGGTTTCATGTATTTTCCTTCTTAAGACCTGAAACAGGTCTTACTCAATGTTACAGGTTAAGATGGACCTTTGCTATCACTGCTCTCTTTGGGGAAAACCAGGCAGTCACAGAAACGCCCTTCTTCAAAGCAAAATAAATACCTACAGAAGTTTGTATGTTCCAGAATACTCAAGAACTTTTAAACCACAAAGACATGATGGGCTGAAAACCTGTAACAAGGAATAAAACCTCAACTAAGATACATTATTTTATCTTTCTGCTTTTTTTACTTTTGATGTAGTACCTACACACATGAAAAATGACACAGTGCACGGAAATGGGGGATTGTGCTGGGGATCCACACTGAAGCTGCTCATGAAAAGAGGAACTGAGGGATGGTTGGGGTTTTGTGACATCAGGTGGGACTAGATCTGTGCAGCTGACATTTACACAAAGGACAGCCATGGTCAGAAAGACTCTGACCTGAGGCACTTAGGAGAATCCAGGCATTCACCCAGAGCAAACTTTCATACACTGCATGAGAGTGATGGAGGAGCTGGGAGTAAAGTTATGACACAGCAATCTTCAGAAAACAACCCCAGATTCAGAGCAACTCTTTCAAAGCATATGAGATTCTGGCTTGAATCTGTACCTTGCGCAGTCACAAAAGACTTGCTAGAAATACAGATCCATAGCATGGGATGTGAAGAAGGCATTCTTTCTATCAATGACCATCTACAAATGCTCGTTTTCTTATTCTTCAGAACTTAAGGGTGGTAATGAAAATGAGAGAAACAGTCAGATAATGTCTTTCTACCTTTTCATAATGCTCTATCAGAATTTCAACGACGATATTCTGAAACTTAATGTTCATCATAGCAGCCACGGTTTCTTCTTGGGCTCTCATCAGAGTTGGTCCAAAGATAACACCAAGGTTGGATACAGTCATTAGATTTTGCTGACTGTGTAATGATACCCTTTAAATGAACACAAACAATATGCAATTAAATAGTTGTGCTGAACTACAATTGCAACAGGCAAAAACCTGTTAAGACTACCTCTTTAACAAGATCCCAAGTCCATGCCTCCCCTTTAAAAACATTTTTTAACCTTTCATTTTTACTAAATTGAAATGCAGTGTAGTACAACTACTGTATTTCCATTAAGGCTCCCATCCTGCAATAACTTAATGGATAACGAGCATGTCTTCCTAGAGTAAGTATTTAAGTTCCTGACATAATTGACAGGGAGAAGCAGCTACCTTTGAAGGTCTCCACAGAGAGATATAGACCATCCAAAGTTTAAGAGTCCAAGGGCAGGTAACCATCTCTCTCCAGTGATTATACAGGACCTTAAATATTTGATATTGGATTGACTGAAAATTCTGTGCTATAACAGAGGTCAGCCATATATCTCAGCTTTCATGTAAAGGAAATAAATTTAGTTATTGAAAACACTTACACTGCAATAGGATGTCCTTATTAATGCATGAAAACATGGGATCAATGGGTTCAGTGAAATAATTTTTTCTGTGGTATAGGTAGCACTAGATGAACATAATGACATCTTCTAGCTTTAAAATATATTAACCTTTTACTTCTGTATATTCTGTTACTGTACCTTTTCTGTAATTTTTCTTCTTGATGTAGAATTTAGAAACTTAGTTTTTCCAATAATTTATCAGAAAGTAAAATGAAAACCATCAGCCAGTAATCCTCAATGCCCCTTCTGGCTCCTTACAAATAAGATTTGCCAAATAAAAACCATATCCTCATAAATTCAATAACTGCCAGTGATTCCCCTGTCACAGCTGCCCTATTGCCTCATGTCTAAGAAATATCACGCCAAGTAAAGATCTGATAATTGCCTTGATGCTTAATTTCACCAAATCTGCTACCAAACAGAATCAGTTATTAAGGCACTTGTTCAGTTTCCTCTTCCTTCTTACTGCTATCTGCTACCATTGTCAAGCTGAGCACTTTTAGCCGTTTTCTAAATAATAAAAATAACGCTTGTAACTTTTAAAATTAAGAAACAGTAACAACTGTAAAATACTAGAAGACTAGCAGGTAGGAGCAAACTTTCTTGTTTTCTCTGACAGCCTTCATTCATCAAGTTTATGGAGACATCTGCTACATTTTCCTTCCAATAATACTCTCAGATAGCTCAATTTATTCTTAAAATGTTATACATAGATTAGCCAAATCTATCTGCTGCCAGTTCGGTAGCAAATAACACAAATGCTGACCCCTTACAAAGATTAAAAAAGGCAGCCACAAACCGTGAGATATTCCCCAAGGCTACTGGGGGATTTGGTTAGGATCAGGATCAAACCTGTGCCTGGAGTCACACATTACCCTTTCTCTCAGTCTCACTGCTGAGCAGGCACTAATGACACACAGAATAACAGGGTTATTTTGGTCTAGAGGTGAGGTAGACTGTACAATTACTTCTATAACAAATACTCCCCTCATATTTGGAAAAGGAGTGTTTCAGTACCCCATTTTCATCAAGAAGCAGGAGAAATACTGGAAAGGGGTTTATATGAGAGAAATGATTATAAACTGCAGGAAAATAGATGCCTTCTTACATGTTTCCTATGTTGCTTCATAATTTTATGCCAAAAATCTTTTTCAAAATTTTACTTTAGACAGACACAATGGCAGAGATCACTATTTGGAAGCTATACCATGAAAATGACTTCTGTGTTAAAGCATGTTTCTAGCCAATTATCTTAATCTAATTTTCTCTGTAACAGATCTTACGTTTGGTTTAGGTGACTACGGGGTGTTTGGGAAGTCCAGTAGCACTTTAATGAAAATGTAATTTTTAATTTCTCAGCTCTAGGTTTGTTAGAAAAATCTTAAAAAAACCAACCCTTTGCAACAATACTCTGCTTTGTGCTGCACAGTAACTGTTAAGGTCTTTTATACAAACTTTATAATCTTATAGCATAAGACAGAAAGTAGTGTTTGCCCTGTGTTTGGGTTTCCTTGGTTACAAATTTGGTACCTTGCTTAATAAAAGGAATGGTGAATTTAATAGCATTGTAATCAGAAAGGACTTTCTAGAAAGCGTTTCAAAGGCTCAATTTCTTGCAAAAGAGAAAAAAACCAGGCCTGTAAATGGATCATTTTGATAACCAATTTCCCTGGAACTAGTCCTACTGTTGCTGGGCTACTGAATACAGGCCGAGGTAATCATGCATTTCAGGTACTGTAAGACATTCATTAAGGTGCAGTTGCTTTCTCCTCAAAATCTCTTTCTTTGATATAACACCAGTAATTTTTTGATGCTGCCAGACTGCAGACTCCTGGCTATCTACCTTAGAAAAGCATGCTGTTATTAAATCATACCAAAGAATGATTTATTCTGTAAAGTAGACAGGTAATTTGACTAGGAAGGTTTAAAAACAACAAAAAAATCTAGTTACCTATCAAAAAAACCCACCGAACTTCCCGTGTTTGCCTAGCTGTTGACTGAGTATATACTTATACAGTACCACCTCTCTGCATGGTGCTTTTCAGGATTTGCTGGTTTTGATTTTTTTATTTTTAGTGTGATCTACATTCCACAACATCTGCATCACATTTAATTTTGCATAGTAACAAAAAAGTCAAGGTAGGCAGAGACATAAAGACCTTAAGACCAAAGCAAACAAACAAAAATTATCCTTATTTTATAACCCATAGTTAAAGGTATAGATGGTATTTTCACCTAGACACAAAAGCATACATAAAGGAACTAAACAGCTAAAAGAAATATAGGGAACGATGCTTATTTTGAAATTGGATTTTAAACAAAAGAATGAAGAAACAGGAGGGTGAATTTTTTTCATATTTTCCCATTTACATAAAATTAGGCACTTAATTTGCCATTTGTTACTTGAAAAACCTCCACACAGTGGTGAGGAAAAGATGAGGAAGGAAAATAACCAATACACTCAAGAGACTAATTTTGAATTCAGTCTCACTAGAATTGCTAGAACAAACAACAGCTGGCAAATCATATGAGAAATTAGAAGGGGTGAACTGAATGTTGGAAAGAAAAGAACTGAAAGTTTTCAGCGTAAACCCATAAAGGTCAAATTTATCAGAAATGAGAATTGCATCAAAGATGTGATAGGCAAGAGTTAAAGAGAACAATTAAAGAAGGGAATACTGCAGGCATGCTTTTCTTTGGAAATGCACCTGAGGTCATATTGAGAATAAAAGGGCCAGAAAAAGAGGTCAAGAAATAAATGTTTGCCAATAACTAATTCTGCCTAGAAATAAGTCAGTTCCTATGTATACATATTTCTAATTCTGAGGCTTCCAGACAAGTAACTTTTACAAAATCATTAATCTTGTACAAAATATTTTAACTTTCTAGATGTTTAGAAAGCAGTAGATAATATAATTTTTAGCTAATAAAACAACTCTCCGAGTAAGGAAACATGAAACTTGCTTTCAGCTGGTTCTCTGGTTTACCCCATGTCAAAGGTGATGCAAGGTCTGCTTAATCAGTTTTTGCAATGGAAGCATTAGCAGCAGCTCCCAATCACATTAGCGAGCTAATGACACAAAGGCCTAAAAATAATTTAGTATGGCTAAATAATTTCCTATAAAAGAAATTTTCAAATTTCTCGTGTCTATAAGAGGAAGTAAAACTCTATTAGGCCCCAGTGTACACCAGCTTACTGCAGGCAGTGGCTCGAGCTGTGATCAAAAAAGCAAAATAGCTGGGACATAATGAATGAAATGAAAACAATATGGACTCCTCTCTCATGTCTTCTAAATATCTCAGTCATGTGGGCCTTATCTGAAAAACTGTTGTTTCATATTTACATTCCTAGATCATTGATAAATATACTAAAAAGCATACAGCATCCTAAATCAGAAAGAATAATACATATTTAAAAGTGTTCAGCAAATACCAGTGAAAACCCACTAAAGATTTAGTAAAACTTAGATGAATAATGTTTGATGGAAAAACAGGATAAATTATAATGTAACAATGGTATGTAATCATAGCTAGTGATAGACAGATAAAATCTTGTCTTTTTTGTCTCACAGCACGAGCTAAGTGCAATTCAGTGAAGACAAAAGGTCATCAGTTCAAAGAAATGTAAAATCTTTCCTATCTGACCTTTAATTAATACTCAGAGAAGCTGATGAAACAAGGGAGATTCAAATGTGGGTTTGGACATTTATATAGATATCAAAAATGTAAATATTACTACTACAAATTAGTGTTTTCAAATGATACTACATTTCAGATCTGTTAGAGAGAAAAATAAGATCAAACATGAAGGACAAGTATTATCACATTAGTCTACTCTCCATTTCTGAAAGTGTGGGACCTTGAGTCAGATTCAAAACAGATTTTTCTATCAACCTTAGCATAGTTTTAGATGTTTCTTAAATTGAATTAGTGCCAATTCCTGCAGTAAGCAGGAATGTGAATGAAAACATTAAGTGGGTTTATTTTATAAAGATAGTTTGCGATCTTGGTGATTCTTTATGGTGTTATAGTGAGTATTTCCATAGTGAGTATTCTTCAGCTACATTGAGAACAGCATTTTAGAAACTAAATGCAATTTCAGATGGCATTGCTTCAACACAGAGAGTGGAATAAGCAACACTGACAAATTTAAAGAAGAAATAATCACATCTTACAATAATACCAAAGCGAAAAATAAAAAATAATTACTTGACCAAGTGCTTGATAAGGATGTCCAGCATCTCTCTGTTCTTCTCTGGTAACTTATGCACAAGCGCGTGCACTGCCTCAACTCTGTAGTTCTGATCATCTGACTCTATTAATAGAAAATAAATATTGTTGATAAATTAGAACACGTACTAAAATGTGACTACAAATGGCAATAATGCCTGTACGCTAATACACACATGCGTTACAAGAAGCCAAACACAATTAGCCTTTAAAATGGTGAGGACAATTTGATTATGCTTATTAGAACATTCTGAAATCTGTATTTCAAGTAACTTGCCAAAAGCAGTTACCACCGATTCTGCAACCAATGACATTTGTGGCAATTTTGACCCCATGTGCCACTTCAGTGAAATCCAAGATTTTACCTCTTGATCTTTAAAGTATTTAAATTCTTGAATGTCTTTTATTCTTACCAAGGCAAGAGGAAATAGGGAAATAACTTCAAATTCTAAACTGAAGTTGTCTGAAAAACAATCTTGCTATCTCTGTATCTAATCAGCATAAAAAATTATCAGCCCATATAAAACAAACAAACATATAAATCAAGGTTCAAAAATTTCATGCAGAAGGCATGAAATGGAAGGACACAGAACCTCTAAAAAGAACAGAACCACTGAACAGCTTCATCGAGTGTGACTTCTCTGTTTTGAGGGCTCTCCCGTGGCACATGTACATGGCACACTCCCATGTACAGCGACATGGAAGAACTCGGATCCATGGCTGGATCACTGAGTAATAGACCGAGGAGAAAAATAACGATAGTAACTGAGGAGATCAAGGGTTAGAAACAATATTACTTTCATGAAAGTGTATTTATTACTTTACTTACTAACAGCAACAATGAAATCTTTGTGCAGCTTGAAAGTCATCAGTGGTTCTGAAAGACACCTGGTTGTAAAAAAAAGATATTAAAAATGAAATGAAAAAACCTGCATTACTTGAAGTATATTTAAGTTTTATGGGTGTGATTATGTGAGCTCTCAAGATCTGCATAATGTATATTGATGTTCTAGGAAAAGCAATTCAGCAATGACTGATTGCAAGTAGTACACAACTCAATCGTACACAGTCTGAAAATCTCTTTGAGTTGAATCTGGTGTCACCATGTAAGTTAAGGGTAATGCCACTGGCACTAACTGTTTTCTGGCTTCCAGACTGTAGAACAGGAATAAATACAGCTGAAGAACATGGTACCATGGGCTGCAGAAGCAATCTTTGCCCAAGAAAGGCAAAAACATGACAAAATTGGGACTGAAATTCTTATCTGAGAGATCCTAGAAGAGTCATCCTCTGAAAGTAAGACTGTGAATTGCCTTACAGACACAAACACACTGCTACTGTTAGCTCATGTTCTTATTTTACGAATACAGTATCTACAATGATTTGTGTCTCTGAAGATGTGTCACAGATTTCTTCAACCAAAGCCAGTCTTTTCAACGAAGTCTACATGAGCGTTCCACCACAAGTCCGAGGTGTATTTGCCAGAGTGAACAGGGATTTCTGATGCTGCCCTTTGTTAGGTTTAGATTTTTAGAAGACATGGAACATCCACCATCTGGACTTGATGCTTTTTATTATGTTTCTTTTGAATGTTATATACTGAGACCCAAAAAAAACCAGTCCTTGACAAATTTTCAATTTATTATTGTGCATAATCACAGGGATATTAGACAAGATAATAATATACTCAATTATTACCATGCTAATGGATATAAGAAATGTAATACAATGTTAATAAACAAAAGATTAGGGCCAGAAAAGGAATACCGAGATTTGTGTGGCATCATACTTACCTGAGGTAGTTTTTTAGTCCACTTGTTATTGTTTTATTGTCCCAAAGTTCCATATCAATATCCATATCAGGAGGAGATTTAGGGGCTGGTAGAAATTTGAATTAGGATTGTGTTATAGTTTGACTAATACACTAACTAGAAAAGCAGCAAAACAGAAGCTAACAGATTAGTCATTTAGCTCATGTGATTACTTATTAGCCAGATTAACTACCAATCTGATCAATTTGAATCTTTTTAATCCCCACCAAAGTATTAATAAAAGTGAATAAGGCACTCATATTTATTACCTGTAAACATTAACTATATACACTATATTGAAGTGTAAAGTAAGCCCAAGTCAACAGAGAATTACTAATGTATTTGGCTTAGACATTCAAACACAGGCATCAGAGAGCCAAATTAGCAAGAAAAATGAAAGACTAGAACAACCGTCTATTAAACTGAGTTATGATGTGTTACAGAACTAAGCTTTGGAACCCTTCTGAAATACACCAATTAGATACCAATAAATAGAACTTTAAAGCCAAAAGACGAAATACATTTTATCAGTAATTTGCCCATGTATATCAATGATGACATGCAGAAATTGAATACTACTGCATATAAAAATAGAATTTCGATGGATCACTTATTTTAAGACCGTAAATCCAATTTCATGGCAGTAAGCGCACAAACAAAATTGTAAATATTATAACACATTTTTCTGAGCACAGCAGTTAAGGCATAAGGGACCACAGCACACACACTGCACACTGACAAAGGTTCACTTCAGATACTTACAAAATATGGTATTCATCAGCTTTTGCACCTTGGAGTTTACACCACCTATTCTGTACAGCCCCAGGATTGTAATACCTACATTGGGAAAACAAGCACAATGAAAATAATGAAAATATGGTTATTTCAATATTTGCTGATGCATCCTTGGTGTATGATTTCAAAACACCTAAATGTATTTATGGAAAATTGTACAATTACATTCTCGAGCACTGCTTTACCCTACTGAATTCTCTTCTGGGATATTAACAAGTGCATTCCACTGGATCCACACCATACTATACACTAATCATAATTTTCCATTAACAGAAACCTTTTGCATACAAATCTAAAACTACAAGTAGATGGCTGGGAAAAGTGAAAAATAAGACCCAAAAGCAATCTTAAAACATATTACACATCAACAAGTTTATCTTACCTAGACTTCAGTGGAATTATTATGTCTGTATTTGCTTAGACCACCATCCTTTCCAATTAAGATTTGATTGACACTTATAGGAGAAATTATTATACCCATAATAAACACATATACTGTGTACTGTTGCAACATTGACATTGAGAATATTTATGTTATGCATGGATCCCCACGCAAAATAGAGACAGTCAAGTCCCAGTTTATCCCTAAGTTTCAACTGTTGTTTTTTTTCTTTTTCAATAGCACAGATATTAATAACAAATAATCTTTAAGTATTCGAAAACATTTCAAAGTCTGATCTCACTTAGATAACCTAGGTGTTTTGTTGTAAAGCATTTTTTTTTTCTCCAGGAGAAAAACTCTAAGTCAGCAGTGATTCAAAAGCTACATAACATTGTTACCCCTGTTGGGCTCAGTGTGGCACAGAGAGACCACACTGAGAGGCTTTTGCACTAGAAGAGAGTTGTCCGCTGACACTTCAGTGCACGGACAGGAAAAGGTTACTTCTTTTTATGGAAGACAATAGAGCCAGATGTCTTCATGTGGAAGGGGATAATTAAAAACTGGCTGTGAGTTGCAAGATATCACCTCATCGGTAGAGTGATTATTATTTTCTTTTTGTACTTTGCCACTACAAAAAATGAGTCTCTAAACGTTTTAAAACAATGGATAAACCATGTGCAAAATGATGAATAAAGTGTTAGGAGTTATGCTCTGCAAAAAAAGACGTTCCAGTATAGAGTATTCAGGCCACTTTTTTGGTCTTCGGGCTTCACACCAGAAACCAAAGTTGGGAGTTGAGGCTCCCTACAGTTTTACCACGAGAAAGCAAATTTTGTGCATACAAAGTAAAGGCTGAAGATGTGTGCAACTGTGTATTAGACTGTCAAAACAACATGAAATCACAGAATATGTTTTAAAAACCCACTTAAATGATACGTTCAGAACTTTTGTTGGAACTTGTGGCAACAGTTTTAAGTGTAAAGCAAACATAAAAAAATGTGGAAAGTAAAAATCAAATTATGGACACACTCCAAAGCATGGTTGCAAAATAAATACAATTAATAAAAGTAATATTTGAGAAATAATAATCAAATACATAATTTGCGATTTAATACACACCTCTTGTTTCTACAGCATGAATACATTTCCTCACGAAGTTGAAACCTGCTTCATTTAAGAACACTAAAAAAGAAGAATAAAACATAATTATTTTCTAACTTATCAATAAACAAAATCTCTGTGTTTAGCCACATTCACATGTTAGTCAAGAAGGACTGATACACATCTTTCCTTCTTATTATGATACTTATTCTGTAATAGTATTTTTGTAGATACATCCTTAGCACTCAAAATCCAACCTTCTAATGAGTGTATCATTAGGAACAAAATATTCTACTGCCTTTCTCAGAAATCAGTAGCCCCTCTACAGATACAGTTGAAAGCTTGTTGCTTTAAAAGTTGATACCTGTACTCCCTTCCCTCTGCTGAGGAAAATGCTTTTAAGAGTTCAAAACCTACATCCTGAAAATAATATATTCATTGGTTTTAATAAAATAACATTCTTTGTTTCTTGCACGTGCACATGACCGCTCATAAAATGGTAATGTAGGAAAACAATCATTGTTACTGACTTTAATTAGTGAGCTTATTTCAAGTGAAGGTACTTCTCATTAATTTTTATATTTCAATGCTCATTGCATTAACTAGCTAAATAAAGATCTTAAAGCAGTGTATTTGCCACCATTAAAATAAACACCATCATAGAAGAAATATAGGTAGTAACTTAAATTTTAGATTTTCAGAGTCTCAAATATACCTCCTATGAAGATGTATGTCCATATCTGACACATTTCTCTCTCTCTCTGAGACACATACACCCACACATATATTTAAATTATTTTTAAGTATTTGTATTAATATAATATTATGTTAATAGCATATATGTTGATATAATATTAATACAGTTATACATATAAATTTCATAGTATCTTTGAATCTAATAATTTTATTACTCAGTGTATGTGTAATAGGTGCATATACACCTAAAACCAAAAACATGTGATCCATATAGGTGTATTATTTCAACACACTGTCACGTATTTACATTTAGGTAAGCAAACTACTGATAGAAACTGCAATCCAAAACCAGCTATTTCATAGCAATAGAAAGAAAATGTAAAACAATTAATCTCTCTCTTTTTCACACACGTATCTAGAAACCAGAACATTACAGAAATCTAGCAATATTTGGTAACTCTACATAGAGAGCTTACTTTCTTCCTTCTTGCTAATAATGGCTGGCAGCGTGTAGATCTGTAAAAAAAAAAAAAAAAAAAAAAAATGTCAATGTTTGTGTTGTTTGTGCTTTGGATTCTTTATTGCCAGGGTTGTTGGTAGCTGCTAATATGGCTGCAACACACTGTGTATTAGCTTGCTGCTGGGGGAAAGCCACCCTTGCCTTTCACCTTAGTCCTGACATCTACCCTCACAGCACTCACCCAGGCGAAAGCCCAGGGATCTGAGCAGGCGGAAAGTGCAAGAACCCACTGTGTTGGTTGTGTTTACACTTTTACACAGCTGATCTTCTGGGAGAGAAGGCAGAGGGCCAGTGGGATACGTCACAGAAACTTATCAGGCCAGCCTTGAGAGTCTACATTGACTAGCATTTAATTTATAGGTACCTAAAATGTGTCAGATCTGCAGACTCCAAATGGGTTAAATTTCAATGCAACTACTGATCTGTATTGTTTCAATCAAGTTGTAAAAACAGCCATTTATCTCATAAAACTGATTAACTATTTTTTCCCTTTGGATACCGGTCTGTCTTCACTCTCATTTAGTGACTATTTTAAGAGCAGATTAATAGTGGGAAGAAATCTCAGACAAGCCTGTCTCTTAGTAGCTTTTATGCTCTCTGCAGTGCCTTTCAAGATGGTGCTAATTGTTTACTTCATGATGCTGCCCAAAAGATGGTTTATCTCTACCAGTGCAGAAACTACTGTTTCACATATCTTATCTGAACCATGAATCCTATTAGAAAATATGCTATCATATTACTCAAACATTAAATATCCTGATGTGAAATAATAATGTATGAATAAAGGCTTAAATTCACTAATAGTTCTGCTTTTCTACTTTATATCTATCTTCACTGTGCATCTGTGGTAACGTCTCACAAAGAACAGAACTGTATTTGCCTGTACTGTAATAGAGTAAATGAAATGCACACTAGCTTCTTTCTTTAATGTATGTGCCACAAAACTGTAAAAAGAAAAGAAAATTAAAAAATATCCTTACTGGTTCCTTTCCATCCATAGCTTCGAGCCAAAGTTTTCGGTTGGACTCTGAAAAAGCTTGCAGTGTGATGATTCCAGGTCTGTCAAAAACATACACATACACTGAAGTTACTCATTTCTTTTTCTCAAACAGTTTCTGAAGTCAGAATCCAAATGCATATTGACATGAAGCGAACACATAAAAGACATAAAAAAAAAGTTGATTGCTTCTGAAATAATATGATAACTTTGAGCTAGATTTAAAAACAGGTCTGATGCTACAACCTTCTAGTAGGAGATTCAGCACAACTCACTGCTTTTCAGTGGCCAGGTGCTTAGGGTAGAAAACTTAAGGGCAAAGTACATAAATGTTTTAAAAGTCAAATATTTAACACTATAATCCCCGAATATGAGTGATCTCAGAAAAAAAAAAAAAAGAAAAAAAAGCAGCCCAAAATCAACTTCAATACCATTTGAACTAACTTCTTCTCTCGTTACTGAATTAGTTGGTAATTTCTCAGAAATTAAAATTACAGTCAAGGTGAAACACACTTTTTGATGTTACCTTTTTATATAGCAGTAGAAATTAGATGGTGTAACCTCTAGAACAGTTTTTACAAGGAGTCTGAGCTGAATGTAGGTGTGAAAAACAGCTAAGTAAATTTTGAATTAATTATGTCAATTAGTAGGGCTCAAGCTGTGTGTTCTTCATTAGTTTTTCACAAAGGTTTATTTCAGTTAACATTGTTCTTTCATGAAATGAGATGTGCACTTCAGTCTGCACAGTTTTCCAATGTTTTAATAAAATAATATTTCAAATAATGTTTCATACGAAGTTGCACATAATAATGTAAGGAGAGAATTAGCTCTGTGGGATAAGGTCTTTGGAGACAGAAGTTACCCATGAAATCTTGCAACACAATGTTGCAGACTGGTGTACCTGCACATTTTTAAAAAGAGGTCTTTCATGATGAAAAGTCATACCCTTGTGTTACTAAGGAAACTTATCTTTTACTCATGCCAATTACTTTTAAAATTTTTCTGTATTTTGCAGGTGATGTCCAACCTTATAGTCTGAGTAAACAATATTAAGTCTTGAATTTAAAATTAGTTCAAATGTAATCATTATCACAGTCTTTTTGAATCCTCCGTATTCCAGTACTGTGTTTATATTTATATGAACTTGCTCACATTCTTAGCCATTCCCAAAATCAGTATCGGCCACTGCGTCTTCTTTTAATTTGGGGAAGCCCAAGTTTTACCAACATGCCATTCAGAAGAGATTAATGTTGCCCTTGCAGACGACCTCCCACCAAATATTTCTAGGTAGGTATTTTGTTGTCTATTTACATCTTCTGCTGACTTTTACAAAAATTCACTACTTCCCTGCTGAATACCAAATCAATTGGAAAAGTGAAGTTTCTATCAGCCTGTGAAAGTTAGATCCCTACAATAATGACCAAGTAATTTTGTGTTCTACTTCCCTTTCAATCTTCTGTCTGAGTTTCCAGAATGCCTTTAACTTACAGGCCATGCACATTTGTAATCAATCAAAATGTCCAAAAGGAATAAATAATACATTAAAAATGCCTACAGCTATCTCTTTGACAAGAACTTGAAGAGCTGCAGATGGAACTAATTGTTCTGTGCAGTTTTGTTGAACTGTGGACATTCTAGTAGAGTAAGGGAGAGAGAAGGGTCAACCCTCACTAGTGAATACGTTACAACGGTACTGACAGATGTGTCTAATAAATGCAATTCTACCTAGAAAGAAACAACTACCAATTTCAAATTCAAGCTTAGGAGCTTTCAAGAGACCAATTAGTCTCAACATTTGTTCATATCAAATTTTTGTTTCTTAAACCTGAACTCAGAAGTCCATTTTAGAAAAATAATATATTATACTTGAAAGTACCAAAGTAGCCTCAAAATTAGCATGTAAATACAGCAGTTCTGAATAGAATTTAAAATGACAGCAAGTCATAAAATATTTCTTAAGAGAACAGCTATAAAAGTCAGTCTATTTATCATATTTTAAGCAAAAATTTAATTCAATATTTCTCTATATTTCCAAGCTTGAAAAAAATATTTTTCGAGGTACTGTGTACATACACTTCAAATACAGAAAAGCTGTTTTCATCTATCATAAAATTATAACTTCCAGGAATAAGTGGGAAAAAAGGTAGAAGTAATTTTTTAAAAATAAAAATTATCTTCTATCATACATTTCTGAAAGAAATAGAGATTGGTACAGAATATGCTTAGTAATAATTATTTATAAATATATTTATGATCTGTTTCTAAAAGAGGGTAGTCAGTTGTGCCACAGGTTTCGTGAGAATCCATCTTGTATCTGCATGCAAATATAATATAGTTAAAATAACACATATGCAATGTAGTCAATTTTGCTAGAAAAACAGGTTTGGACATGTAAGTACTAAGTCTTGAAAGCCTCTGTCTGGATACAAGTGTATTGAGAAATATGTGTTCCTATTACAGGAGTAATTATTACATAACAGTTATAAGTGCTTCTATTTTTAATTATTTTCAATTTGTTAACAGAATGAAAAAAATTCAAACCTCTCAAATACTTCAATATCGAAACAGAAACGTTTGTCGATTGAATCTGTCTTTCTCCTGATGCAAGATTTTAGCTTGAATATTTCAGGTGAACTTGTGACAAGGCCATTCTATAAAATAAAACAAAACAAAATAAAATTAGCACAGGCAGTGTGCTGATATACTTTGGCTTGACATTTTCCATGTAACTGTATGAACAGATCAAAGAACATGTCTTCATATAGGGATTAAAATTATTTAGGAACATATAGAATAATTTCTCTTTATATAAAGTAAGCCTTCTATCACATATTTGTATTCTAATCTTTGTATTTCAGAAAACTCTTTAAATTCAGAACTTTACAAATATCTGCTTATATAACATGATTATATGTTACATGTTAGAATGAATAGCATATAATTCTACCAACATGTAGATAAAAGAGATTTCTAAAGAATAAAGCTGACTAACTCCTAGTTCTGGCCACCATCACTGTGAGGCCATTCTTCATAATGTTGGAGAAAGGAACATTCTGAGGAATCAGAGAAAGCAAACGTCACTCCTGTCTTCAAAAAGAACAAGGAGAAGGATATAGAATCATAGAATTACTTAGGTTGGAAAAGACATTTAAGACCATTGAGTCCAACCATCAATATAACACTGCCAAGTTCATCACTGAACCATGTCCCTAGGTGCCACATCTACACATCTTTTGAATACCTTTTAGGGATGATAGAATCATAGAATCATATAATCATTGAGGTTGGAAGAGACGCTTGGGATCATCGAGTCCAACCATCTACCCTACTCTACAAAGTCCTCCCCTACACCATATCCCTCAGTACCCCATCTAAACGGCCCTTAAACACAGCCAGGGACGGTGACTCAACCCCCTCCCTGGGCAGCCTATTCCAATGCCCGACCCCTCTTTCAGTGAAAAATTCCTTCCTAATGTTCAATCTAACCCTACCCTGTTGGAGCGTGAAGCCATTCACTCTCCTTTTATTGTTAATTACCTGTGAGAAGAGACCAGCACCAACCTCTCTACAGTGTCCTTTCAAGTAGTTGTAGAGAGTGATGAGGTCTCCCCTCAGCCTCCTCTTCCTCATACTAAACAGTCCCAACTCCCTCAGCCGCTCTTCATATGATTTGTCTTCCAGGCCCTTCACTAGTTTCGTTGCCCTCCTCTGCACTCGCTCCAGCACCTCGATATCTCTCTTGTATTGAGGTGCCCAGAACTGGACACAATACTCGAGGTGTGGCCTCACCAGTGCTGAGTACAGGGGCACAATCACCTCCCTACTTCTGCTGGTCACACTATTTCTAATACAAGCCAGGATGCCATTGGCTTTCTTGGCCACCTGGGCACACTGCCGGCTCATATTCAGCCGCTTGTCAATTAGAACCCCCAGGTCTGGTGATGACACCACCATTTCCCTGGGCAGCCTGTTCCAATGTTTGACAGCCCTTTAGGTGAAGAAATCTTTCCTCCCCTGGTTCAACTTGAGGCCATTTCCGCTCATCCTATGGGGAGCTACAGGCCAATCTGCATCACCTTGATCCCTTGGAAGGTGATGAAGTGAATAATCCTGGAAAGCATTTCTAAACATATTAAGAACAGAAAGATGACTGGAAGTAGTCCATTTAATGAAGGGGAAATCATGCAGGATCAACTTGACAGAGTTTTGCAATGTGATGGATGGCTCAGTGGATGATGGAAGAACAAAGAATACTGTTTACCTCAATTTTAGCCAGGTTTTCGATACTACAGCTTACTACAATACAATGCTTCCTGTTACATAGACAAACTGGTGAAGTACAGGCTACATAAATAGATGGTCAAGTGGACTGAAAACTGGCTGAACTGCTGAGCTCACAGCAGAAGTCCAGCTGTAGCCAGTCACTGGTGGAATGCCCCAGTGGTCAATACTGGGGCCAGCACTTTTTAGCATGAATAGGAATAACCCCAGGCAACAGGACAGACTGGGGCTGGCAGGTTGGAAAGCAGCTTGGCAGAAAAGGACCTGTGGATCCTGGTGGGCAACAAGTTGACCATGAGCCAGCAATGTGTCTTTGCAGCAAAGGCAGCCAACAGCCTCCTGGGTTCAATCAGGCAGAACATGGCCAGCAGGTCAAGGGAGGTGATCCTCACCCTCTGTTCCGCACTGGTGAGACACATCTGGGGTGCTGTGTCCAGTGCTGGGTTCCCCAGCATGAGAGAGACAGTTATGTGCTAGAGCAAGGTCAGCTAATGGTGATTAAGAACTTGGAGAATTTGTTATATAAGGAGAGGCTGAGAGAGCTGGGACTATCCAGCCTGGAGAAGGGGGATCATATCAGTGATTTATCTATAAATACCTGATAGGAAGAAATAAAGAAGACTAAGTCAGATTCCTCTCAATCGTGCCAGTGAACGGGCAAGAAGTAACAGGCACAAACTGAAATACAGGTTAATTCCATTTGACCTTAAGGAAAAGCTTTTTTAAGGGGCTCAAACACTGAAACAGGTTGCTGCAGATGTTGCGAGATCTCCTTGGACGTATCTAAAACCCAACTGGACACAGATCTTGCTAACCTGCTCTGGTCTATCCTGCATTGAGATTAAACTAGATGATCTCCAGAGGTCCCTTCCAAACTTCAGCCATTCTATGATTCTCAGCAAATGGGATTGATTACCCATGCATTAGGAACAACCACATTATTTAATATGTGGTTTATATATGTTTTAAAAGCAATATTTTTATCACCTATCTATGCATTGCTTCATTTATGAAAACAGTCTTACGCTTGGTTCACCGCATTTTTTTCTTTTAATAGTTCCTGAATGCTTAATATAAAAGATGGAATATACAGTTCATGTATGTGTAACTCACCACTTTTCCACCAGATTTTGTTTCAGCTATACTCATAGTAAATGTTTTTGTTCCTTTATCATAAGTGCAGTAATGTTTTACCCACGTAAATCCAAGAGGTCCTAGATCAAAGAGAGATAGTATTAAAAATAATTATTTTAGCATTTTATCACTATTTTAACTGGAGTTAGAAAAATGAAACAATAGCATCCACATCTAGCCTACAAAATCAAAACATCACCCTAACTTTTAAATTTAAACACGTTGTTCAGGTATAATTTTCAAATATTACAGCTTGATAAGGTTGCCCAGCAAAGTTCCAGCAGAGAAATTTTCTTTGGCAACTAGATGGACAACACCATTTTACTAGGGTAAACAGGCAGGAGACAGGCAAGATCCTGAGGATTTTTCTGCCTCAGAAATACATTTGAAGATTTTATCAACCCAGGTGAAGCAAAAGGATTCCATATTACATCCTTTCTCTGTGGGAAACCTTGAAGTGTGGTAGTAGATCCAGAAAATTGGATGAAGTCACAAAGTCAGAGTGCATTGCCCTTTACTTTCAGAATTCTTGTCAAAGGTAACAAATGTTTTTGGTAGTATCATGGGCAGCTGTAACAGTGGCACACAACTAACCGTGTCCACAAACTGACAACTGCACACACTCACAATACCAAAGAAAAATGTACCTAGGGATTACTAGTATTCGATTGAGAAATCGAATGTACAGTAAGTACATCCCCAAGTAAGTGGCTGTAAGCCTTATCCTGGAGAGGTCACACCACACCACACTACTTAATCCTACTGCAAAGTACAGGATCTCTGATTCAGAAGATGTTTTCATTCCTGGATTACCCAGAGCTTTGCTTAGGAATTGTTGTGAATCTGTAGTGAATCTAAACACAAAACCCTCTTGAGCTTAAGCTCATTGGTATTTTAAACTTTGTCCGCTAACCTAACTTAGATACAGGTATTTATGATGTGAGTAAATCCTCCCAACGTTTCCATAATTCTCCTCACATCCTAGTAGTACAGCAAAAATCTCCCACAACTTCCTGGGAAAAAAAAGATGTTTACTGTAGCACAGAGAACAAGACAAGATACATCTGGAGGGGCGGTGCACTGCGGAGGAACAGGATAATTCAGATTTTTGCAGTGTGACTGATCCCCCTTGGGCCAGAACATAATGGCTGTAGCTGCACTCGTTAATAAACAGCGGTGGCAGCGTTCACGGTCACTAGGTAACACACAGTCAATAGGTAACTTGGACGAAGCCTCTTGATTTTTAAGAACAGGAAATTTTGTATAGAGGGTGGGATATTCTGTGTGAGCTTGTCTCCGTGGCAGAGTACAGCCCCATTTATTTCACTAGCATTGACACAGCTTCTGAGCACTCGGCTGCAGAGACCAAACACACCGGCTGTGTGAAGAGGTACCAAGAAGGAAAAGCATTTCTTTCCTCTTGGACAGCATTATGCTTTGGAGCCTGGCATTCAAACATGGCCCCTCTCTGCAGAGCAGGCACCAAAGAAAAATACATCCATACATATATATATACACACATATAGCAGTATTTTAACTGCAGTGTAAATTCAGAATAGCAAAAGACTAGATGATGCTTTTAACCCACATGTGATTTTTCCGATTCTTTTCAATGGGAGTTACTTATGAGAAAAATATGATACTGATTTTTTCAAAGTACAGTATATCTGAACCTTTTAATTCTTTTTAAAATGAAAAAGCTCTGAGTTGTAAAAATAGCTTTTTAAGGGGTTTGTGTTTTTTTTTTTTTAAACTGTGAATAGTTAAATAAAAATGGAAGGTGTTAAAACCAAACCTAGTAGTTTTGCTATAAATACAATAGCTTTGCCTTCTAAATGTAGCATTCCACAAAGGTAGTAGATATATGAGAGATTGCATCAGTCATGTAAATCCGATGTCTGGCAATTCAGAAATGTAGATGTGGAAATTCATACAGTCTGTTATGCTGACTTCGAGAAAATTCTTCCATTGCCTGCATTGTGCAGGACAGTAAAGCTTTAAATGGAAGTGTCAACTGGTTACCGACCCTCAGAAGTCAGCTGTTCTGTTTCTATATTTTATCTTATTTTCACTTGTCAAACCAAAATCTATAATTACTCTAAATCAAATCTTCCTCTGATGGCATTTCATTATGTCTTTTAGCATATATAAGAAGGATGAGCGCTCTCAAAGTGGTTTTAGATGCATTTAGAAGTTCACCTGTTCTTCATTAAAAAATTGTAGCCTGATACCTGCATTGTAATCTGTTACTCATGACTGTCCATCTGAATGAAAACAACTTAAGGCCTACTGCCATTTTTTTTCAAAAAACCGTATTTACCACCACACGCATCAGTAATAAATATATACAGAATTTACTCTCAAGAACAGCAAACATTTAACCCAGTTGCCCATAACTTGACAAGAGCCCATGGGATGATGGCTGTAGGAAAGTAAACGTGCATGACAAGGAAACATACAACTAGTAATCACTGACACAGATTGCAGACCTCGTTACTCATACTCCAAAATAAACTAATGAACAAACTTCTTTTCAGTAAGAGGATGTCAAGTTGGCCTCTCACTATTTAATGAAGCACAGCGTGTGCCCAGTGGTTCACTCCTTTTCTCCCTCCCGCATTAGCAGGGCTCAGTGTAATTTCCACTTAACACAGGTTTCTTTTATCATTATTACACAATAAAAACATAGAGGATCTTCTTAAAACTTTCAGTGCCTCTGAGGGTAAAAGTGGCTGAGGTTAACTATGAAAAGCATTGAAGTTTCTTTCTTTTAGCTCACATATGGAATAAAGATTAATTTCATTATGTTATTTAGAAAATCAGTTATTAATAACTCCATGCAGCCTCTACAACATCTAAAAGGGGAACGGTGAAGAAGATATCCTCAAAACTGAAATCAAGTGGGGTCAAGTCTGACACAGGAATTCTATCTTCTACTTACTTTTAGATTGAGAAATCAGGTGCAAAGTTGTATTTAATGATTTTTGCATGAATGTCAAACTTGCACAAGCACGTACAAATTATCTCAAAACACTGCTCTATACTTTTCTAGTGTCAGCAAACAGAAAAATGAATAAATAAATACATAAATCTGGGTGCTCCATGCAATGGAAAGTATTTTACTGAAGGTTTTGCCTAACGCAGCTAGTTTACCTTGGCTTTTATACTGGTTAGAGCGTAAAACAGTGGCAGATGATACTTAGGGTGATGAATAGTTTTGAATTCTCTCATTGGACTTTTCACATATTTCCTGATTCTGTTTTCATTTATAACATGATGTATTGCTAGGCTCTTCCAAATAGTTTCAGACACTTAAGACAACTTTAGTTCCATTCTTTTGTTTAGTTCATCACTTCATTCTCACGTGTCATGAAGTGAATAAAACATAGGTATAGATGACAGACTGTATTTGGATGCCTTTTCTTCTTCTTACACCTTTGTATTCCATCATGTGTGTATTCATTTGCTCTACAGGTGGCTGGGTCAGTGGAGACCCCTGGTACAAGGTGGACGTTGCTTCTGCTGGTGAACTGTGGGCCCTGTTCAGGCAGAGTTCAGAAGAGGGCAGAGTTTGGCAGGCAGAGCTAAAGCAGAGTGCTGGGACGTCACAGCTTCTGCAGCAAGGTGCAGGGCAGCCAGCCAGAGCAGAGCTTGCTACCAGTTAGCCACTGCGATGGCCAACAGCAGGGACCTACCCACAGAGACCCAGGGGCCAGAAGTTGAGTTGCTTACAAGTGTTTTCATCACCATTCCATCTGCCAGTGCTTTTTCAAAAGCCAAACACTTATTTTAGTTTTGAACCTCTCAATCACTTGCAAAGCAACCCCAGCAGAAGTCTGCAGACATTCAAACACAGAGCTGTTGTTGTCCTGCTAACAAAACCGTTTCCTCATCCTTGCATTCGTTGCTGTGTCTTTCAAATAAAATTAAAAGGTACATCTGTTTTACTCACGTTTCTCCTGCACATAGAGATAGCCTTCCATTGTCCATTGGCTTGGTGGTCTGTAATCCTGGTTGGCTGATTTCATTCTTTGCATGAGTCTCTCCACTTCCTGCCTAGTGCTTTCAAAGTTATTACGGGTCTAATACCCGGAAAAAGAAACAAACAAAACCCCCACATTATCTCATTGAAGTACTAAAACAACAATGAAGAAATAATTACTAATAATACCAAGCAGACTGTATCAGAGACCAACAGGAGCATTTGCCAGAGACATAAAAGGGAAAAAAAAAAAGCTATAAACAATAATACTCTTCATTGCTCTAGAAGCCTAGGAGTAATATAGTAATGAAGAATTCAACTTAAGCACAGAAGGGTAAAGGAAACATAGAGAATAGTAATTCCTCTTTCTGCAGGTCACTAACCTCAGAAAGGAGGTGATTTCATACCTTCGGGTATGCTTACACAGGATTTGTCAGACAGACGCAGGCTTTCTCTCTGTGTACCGTAGGATACATGGACAGAAGCCAGGCTAAACTAGGAGCTGCTGACAGCATAGCCCCGAACCTGAAGCAGTAAGTCCCACTGAACCACTTGAAGTACTGTGCAGAAAACATCAGTTTGGGTTCAGGCCAGGCAATGTCTCTAGACAGCTGCGGTCTCTCCAGGAGCAGAAGAGGCAAAGGTACTATGTGTCCGTATCTGCTGTAACACCACAGCTGCTGCTGCTCAGAACAGTCAGGTCACTGGCACTGTCATGAGCATTTTTAAATAGGACTATGGAAACACCACACTTAAGTATAACATAAATAGGTAAGAAACAGGTCACATGTGGCAAACTGTGCCAAAAGCACGGAAGTACTGTGTCTGTCCTAAATATCACGTGTGTAACCAGCCATCTCGCCAAGCACACAATTGGGTACAAAGGTGGGTTACTCATATCTGCTAAGATCTATATGCATGTAAATGGATATTTTTTCCTATCGAATTCAGTGAAGCCAGGGTTTCCCACGGCACATCTAGCATGGGGTAAGTAGAGGAGACTTATTATGAGGTGCCAGAGGTTTGAGAGGTTGCTACTTATAATACCAGATGCTGAACACTTTAGTACTATCTATTAGAAAAGATTAAAGATTTTTGTAATGTTTCTGCAAAGTCATCGTATGGACTCTATAGTTGGAAAGGACTTCACACACTGCTGCACACTTTCCTCTTTTTGTGGGCCACTCATGGACTTGTAAAGTAGTATAATAGCATGCATATTAAGTTTTCTTCTTGAAGACAAAAATTATTATTAGAGAGGGAGGTAAAATTCTTCTCTGAACTTTTCAGATGATATCTTTAGTGTGAAGCATCAGTTCAGACCAAACTTAACAGTGGTCATTTTTGACCTTCAAGAGGGACATGCCATTGAAGGGAGGAATGTCCCCATTTTGAGAACTTATCTCTATTTGTCTATTAAGTTTCTAATTACTACTTTTAAGCAGCCAGGACTTCGAATCAAATTATAGAAAACAAGCCAAATGCTCGTACAAAGTACATCACTGGGCAGCTGAAACAGTGGAAGTGACAACAGGTCATACTAGGATATGGTGACCTGTTAAGAGCTGCCCACCTGCCACTACTCTGCTACTCCTACGGCTGTTAGTGCTCCTGCTTTAACCTGTAGGACAATTTCAAGATCAGAAAAAGCAGTTCATATCAACTAGATCTTAGCACACAACACAATGGAGAGGAGTACTTTTGACAGCTACGACAGACAGGCTGAACACTATCCTCAGTCTGTCTTTCCCTTCATAAACTATTTCACTTCCATCTGAGGTTGGGTGATGCTCTGAGTGACAAGTCAGTAGATAACCCAGCTGGCAAAAAGAAGCTGTGGATCTATATCGGGAGACAGAATTCAAAATTCCTTGTAACAGCAGTGAACGATGCACTGTATCCCAGCATTACTTCAGGTATATGTTTCTCTAATGTATAAATATAATAAAACATAATATCATAATACACTGTTCCTTCTGCCTAACTCAACATCTCCCTCTACCTCTGCAGCCTTTTTATGACTTCAAGTTGTACTTATATACCATTTAAGAAGAGACCAAGTATAACTCTTTCTTCATTAACATTAAAATTAAAAAAATTCTTTAACAAGTCTGTATCTCTAGATATGCGCATAGAAGATACCAACATATTCTGACTTCCAATGCACGTTTTGGTCTGTGCTGTGGGCTCATGCTCCTCTCAGAAGTTGCCATATTAAAGTAAATAAATCTCTGGACTGAAGCACATTTTCACCCTTTCACTGAAACTGCTGTGCAACAACACTGACCCCTTGTGCCTTTATCTAAGAGAGCCTTAGCAGCAAACCAAAAGTACATAATTTGAAAGGACAAGGGGGCTGAGATGCTCTACAGACAGAGAATATTTGCATTTTGATATAAAAGGAAAAGATTAATCATGTAGGAGGTTTTGTCTTATTTCCCCAAGCAGTGTTTTAAATGGGATCTATATCTACATATGAATAACATATGAATAACAGAATAAAAGGGGAGAGGGCTACAGAGGTGTGATGTACATGTTTAATTGTGGCAAAACCTGGAATAGTGCAGTACTCCTAAGAATGCAGATCTACATTAACAGTGCTAAGCCAATGCTGTCTTCCAGCTTTGAGCCAACATATGCCTCTCTAATAGCAAGATACTACAGGGAAAATGTCAGTGTTTTATTTTCCAGTAACCACAGGGAACCACAGTTGAGCACAGTAAGGTGCTCTTGTGCTCCCAGACCTGTTTCATATTCCCTAAGTTTAGTGGCCAAGGTACTATCCACAAAAGCTGATGTCAGATCTTTTAAACTGTCGTACTTTTTTTCACTCTAGTGGAGTTACAAAAATTTCTGTTGGGCATGTATATTTTCTTGAAAGAATGAAATGAAATAGAAATGGAATCACCTCAAAAATACAGCATTTGAAGTAAATGATAGCATGGTAGACTTCCTTCACTCTTTTTTAATTTGTTCTGAACTTTGAAGTTACTCGTAATGAAAGATGTAGGGCTGGCCCAATATAAACATGTTGAACTTCACTTTTTTTGCAAATTGAGTGTAAAAATGTTTTGTATCTACTTATTTATATATCCTTGGAAGTGTAACATCTGAGTTACACAGTGAAATAAATATATACTTGTATACAGCAGCTATGAGTGGAAAAATATGTTGATTAAACGCATTTTTGTTATTTCTGAAAGCTATGGAATTTTGGGGCACAGTTACTTTGTATGTCACTTACTACCAAATTAAGACCAACATACAGCAAAAGACCCATCTGCTCAGTGGAGAGTAACTCTCTATACAAATAAGAGATCCGTTCTTCTGATGGAACTTAGTGCTCGTGAGAGCTTCTCACCATGGAGGAAGGCCCCACCGGTTCTCCACTGCTGCCAAAGTAAATCCAGAGTACAGCCCGAGAATGGCTTCCCAGGTGTGTTTTATATACAGTGGGAACTTAGGGGACAGCAGGACAAGCCTTCTGTGGCAATCTGTGATCTTAAAGAAACAAACTGCACCGTTGTATACCAGTTGGAGCATTTTTGGGACATCCACTCCAGACCATAGGCCCCACTCTCAAGAAAGCATTTACACGTGTTTAAACCTATCTGTACTACTGTTTTTTCTAATAAAAACTCGACTGCTGTCCTGCTTTTCTGGTTCTTGCTCCCAAAACTTTAACCTGGAAATCACAAATGAACTATCCAAAGATTAATTTTTCCAAAGTTATTTGTTGCCCAGAATCTTCATTACATTAAGCTTAACAAAAATAAGTTTTGCCTATTCATATATTAATTTGATTTCAGCTTACTAAAACATTACAAGAGTTAAAGTTCAAATAAAGTGCTATGAGTCTACTTTAATATCCTGAAATTAAATTAACAAACAAAATGGTGTAAATACAAATCATCCTTACGTTCTGCAAATTGAACTGCAGCTGCTGCTTGTATGGTGCAAACTCCTGAGCCAGTTCATATCCTTCATGGTAAAATGTAAATAATCCTTGAAGAAAGGCCAAGAGCTGAAAAGGTAAAATTGAGAAGCACTGTATTTTTTTAATGTGCTCTTAATGCTATATAACACAAATAGAACAGAACATTCACTAACTTATAAAGAATAGGTATTGCCTGCAATAGTGAAATAATAGTTCTTAGCAACTGCTACACACTTTTTCTATTCCGGTGAATATAAGAAAGCAATAACTAAGGACAGCTGATCTTCTATTAGTTTTCAGCAGCAAAATATGGCAAAATATCAGCAAAACACATTCTATGTCTTAGTTATTGGAGCTTGTAAGGTTTCATTACTTGCAATAACAGAGCTTTGCTGAGCAAGCAATCCATGGTCAGACCTTAGGAAAGAGAGGTGTTAAACAGGCTTGTGCATCATGAAGTTCTCATTTCCATAATAATTTAATTCACCCCTAGTCATTTTGTCCGGTACTCCAGCTGAAGTCTTAGATGTTGTGCATTTTCCAAGTTCATACTTTCAGAGTTCAAGGTTTTTTTCTTCAAAATATTTTTTCACTTTCTTCGTAGTAATTGCTTGGGCTATGACCTATTTTCCACAAATGAGACTCTTGAAAGTATGTTTTGGACAGCTTAATGCGACACAAGAAATCCAGACTATTTCTTCCTGCTCTGAAAAAAATGCAAACTCTATCTGGTATGTCTGTGGCTGACTCCAACAGAACAGTTGAGGTCTGTACATATCCAGTTGAAAATTCTTTTTAAAGTTCACTTTACATAATAAAAAGCACAACTATATTTTCTGAACGCTTATTTTAGCTGTTGAATTAATGCATTCCTACCACCTATTAGCTTTAAAAGCTTTCTAATTTATTCTGTTCTAAATTTAAAAAATGTTTTGACATTGCTGTAAGTCTTCTTACTTACTATTAAATAACAAGCATTTAATTTTTTATTATGGACCTTTTTTTTTGGTATATATAATTCAGCTTACACACAGCCAAGTAAAGAAAACAACAGAAAAAAGAGGTATTAACTTGGACATACAATAACAAAAGCTTTAACAGGACATATTTATCCTAGTATATTGCAGCCATTGAAAAACTAATCATCTAGACTAAGTAACTGACTGTCCAGGCTGCTTTCTCACTCAGTGAAAAACACAGGTATTCCAGAGCATAATTCTCTTTCCTTTTTCATACTTCTCACTCAGGATGGGATGAATGACCCAATGGAAACATATTATCTCTCTCCATCAACTAGTGAAGTAGCCTATATTCAGGCAACAGAAATGCCATTGTTCATATATCATGCACTTTTCTTTGTGTACCATAGATTATTGTAAGTGAAACTACTTAAAAATGAGCTTTGACTGTGTTAATGTTTTCTTTAAATTTACACTCAACCCTACTTGAAGAAATGTAGTTAAATTGTTCTGCCTCCCTCTTTCCTATTGCTTGCTAAGAGACTGCTGTACTGCGGTAACACATATACTTCAGGGAAACAGCTAAAACAGTATTTTGCAGTTTTAGAGCCCCCTCCATTCCAGCATCACGAGACATTCCACACCCTTTAACATGTGAATTTCCGCAGCTGGACAGAGGAGAGATCAAGGACGCAGGTCTCTGGACAGAGGAGCTAACATGATGATTTGCTGCTACCAGGCTGTAGTCTTGGCTCTCCCCTTCCCGTTCTTCCTCCCTTTCACCAATTCAGCCTTGCCAGGATTCCCACACATCCTTGCGCCAGCTCTGGCATCACTCAACCCTTCAGTGAGCATCCTACCTCGGGAAGGCTGCTGGTTTGCTGTTAGTAAGTTAGAGCAGTTTGAGGTTAACAGACCATCAATGCTGGTGCAAATGAAGCATCAAATGAAGGCATGGCTGGGATTGGTTTTTACTGGTATTGCAGGATCAGATGGAACCCTGGCCTCAGGCAGAGGTGGTGAAAGTCCATCACTGCCCACTATGTTGGTCGCGGAGCCTGAAGAACTAGGAAGATCCTTGGCCATAAAAGCCACTTTTTGTGGGGCCTCTACAATGGGCATGAATTCCTGAACTGCATCCCACCACCAAACAATGAAGGCAAGTGAAGGGCTCCACAGCCTGTGTAATTCGTCTCATCTTTACATGATCATCTGGTCCAACTGTAATCATTTTCTCAGCTAAGGACCTGGCCCTGAAAATCTCTTACTGGTTATTCAAGTGGTCCTGAGGAAGGTCCAAATACAACAATTTATCTTAAAAAGCTCCAATTATGTAAGCGGGTAGAAAGAGTTCTATAATTTTAAGGTTTATAATGTAATTCTAGAACTACATAGAAGAAAAGAAAGACTAATCTTCCTTTTTCATGAATAAAGTATCAAATAAGTACAGACATTGTAACTAAGACCCTGCTATGGGTCCAGCTGGGGAAAGCCCGTGCCCACAGTCTAGACCCAGTAACTCATCAGCACCCCCAACTACAGCAGCATAACTGCTCCTGTGCTTACTCTGATTTGGTTAAATCAAAAGGATGTGGATTAACTTAACCTGGAAGTAGGAGCCTGCTGCTAAACCCACCCCTTTCACTGCAGGAGTAATATGAGCACTCAGCAAAACTGCAGCCAGACCAGAATGTTAGAGCACAACAAAATTACAAAAAAAAAAAACTAGCAGGAGAAAGTTTCAGTTATGTCAGCTTATGCCTGAATTTTCAAGATCGGTTTAAAGGGCATTTCAGGAGAATGTACTATAAACTGTTTAAATTTCAGCTTCAATACTTGAAGAAAACCATTTTCCATCACACAAAACACTTTTACAGAGTACACAGAGAAATACTGAGGAGGAAAATATTTAACACAAGATGGCAGCAAAGCTGAATTTATCAGAAAGCAAAAAAATAGGAGCAAAAAAACCCTGAGAAAAATCTGAATGCATTTTTGTCAAAGCACTCCTCAGGTATTCTGGCAGTTGTGCATTGCAGAGGATCTGGCCTTGAGGGTCTCTTGATCAAATACTCTCTGAGCACTTCGAAAAATAGGAATAAAAGAAAGTTAAAAATATGCTTATCTTATGCAAGTCCTAAACCAGCTTATTCAAGTTCTGTGTTGAAATAACTGACACTGAGGGTGGCATTTGCTTCTATGCACATGGGGGGAAGAACAGGGATCTAAAAATGCCCCGTACCCAATGGGCCTATGCTGTTGAGGCACCTTAACCATTTCCATCAGGACAGGTACCGCCATAGCATTGCATGGAAGAGATCTAAAAGCCAAGGACTTTTGCCCCTAGGCTGACGGTCACAGTGGGGTTTTCTTGTTGCTGGTGTTACAAGTGGCATTGCTGCTAAAGGCAGGCTCATAATTTTAAAGAGATTTATATTAAATAAATAAATAAATGAAAACAAAAACCCCTAGATTTTCAGAATGTATTTTTTTATTTCAACAAGTGCCTTATAGTCACCTCAGTCTGAGTATCTAACCAGTCACATCATTAAAAGGCGAGGTCTGAACTCCGTAATACAATGCTACTCACTACCCCAGCGCCGCGAGGATTTCAACACAGAACCTGAAACAAAATCCAAATATTTCTGGAGACTTTATTTATTTTTATGTAGAGCTGGTGACCTCAAGACTGCCTGGTCATTTCATTCTCACAGGAAGAAGACTGTACTTTGGTTTTGGATAGGGGAGGAATTTAACCTTTGGCCTGCAGCACATCAGCCAGAAGTCCCTGTCTCCCTGGTTTCATTTTATTTATAAGGAGATAGCACTTATTCATCAGATTAAAGTGAATGTAGTCAATAACACAGAAAATAGAAGAAAGGGGAAATTGAGCTTAACATCCACAGTGAAGTTCCATGGAACTGCATGCAATTACAGGCAGGGTTTGTTGGTTGTTTTTTTGTTGTTGTTGTTTTTTTTCCCCACTCTTTAAATAAACACTTCTGGGCTTTTGTGACATTTAACGGACCACCCCTCATATTTCAGATAGTTTACTGCTTATGAACTCTGTGCCCTGATTTCTACAGGCCAAGAGACAAAGTGGAGCTCTAGGAAGGCATTTGTATTTTTCTTAACAAGAGTAACATCCTCAGAAAGCTGGGTTGGTTTGAACTGGCTTCTCTGGGTCCATGAGGGCAAGACTAGGATGAGAGATTATTGTCACCTACTTCGCTTTGTTGTTTAACTTCCTGCAAAGTAGTTTTTAACCCTAAATTGTTCTTGAGAAAAGGTTTAAATTAATTGTTTGCATTAAAAGCTTTAGGTTTGTTTCTTTTGCTTGGAAAAAATCTAGACCTGGGAGGATCACAACTAGGCAGCCGTTAGTTACTCACACCAGTACACATGAGCGACTCCTTGAAACAAGATTGTCATGGTTTGGGCCCGACTGGCCACTGAGATGCAGAGAAATCCAGGATGTGAGAAGCAGTGCAAAAGTGTACTCTAAATGTTATAATCCTCTACTCAGAGTATGAGTCATCAGCATTTTGTACCTTAAAATCTCTCCCCACCCTCCTCTAGGAAGCAACATACTCCACTCTTACCTTCCACTGTCCTGCTGTCCTAGGTGTAACCCACCTGGCAATTTTTGATAGGCTACTTCTCCCACTCTGCTTCCCATCAGAGCATCCTTATCTTTTGGCATACACAAACTGAAGATCTTACAAGGACCTCCAGCAGACTATTTGCTTTTATAGTTTTATTCCCACCTCATGCACTTATCCTTCTTCCACACGGGCATCATAATTTCCTCCTTTCCTACACTAACAGCCTTTCTTTTCTTTTGTTAAACTCTCTTTCAAAGAGTCTATTAGGAACACATCAGATTGAGAAATATATGGGGTTGTGACACTGAGTTGATAAACCAGAGACATAAGCAGCACATGCACTAGAACGCCCCACAACCAGCAGAGCTCCTGAGGAGGGATGTCTATACAAATGCACATCTGCATCTTCTAGCATCTGAACATCCGTAGAGCACACAAAAATCAATAATACGGCAATTCTTTTGACATATGATTTTAAAGTGTTAGGCTTTGTCCTTATCTACTTGCATCTAGGAGCACATGCTCATACTTCCAACATCACTTAGATAACTTATGCTTTTTTAGAAAGCCTGTTTTGAAGACTTTTTTGTTTTCCTTCGTTTCATCTATTTGCTAATGTGTATTATAATTTACTTTGTATTCTTTGCCTTATGGGTTTTTGTAAATGCTTTTAATTCAGCATGTTGTATGTAACGGACGAGAAACAAAAAATTAAGAATTTTGAAGGTTCAAAATTTTGTACCTCATGTTACAATTTAAGCTCCATTTATATTCAGATTGATTATGAAAAATTCACACCTGAAGCCAGAAGACACTGCCTGCAATGGCTATCATTACTCAGTCACCAGAGTATTTCCCATACCTTCCTCTGGAACATCAAGTATTGACCTGCGTGCAACAAACAGCATACAGTGGGCATAAAATGCCCTCTGATCTGACACAGAATGGCAACTGATCCACTCAAAAGTAGATTTTACCTACTGGATGTGTACACCTGGTGACAAAAATTCCCAGGTCCAGCAGACTGAGTTTACCAGTAACCTCCCCTCTCTGCTTGCTCAGTAGCAGCACTGATGAACTGATTAATTGCTCTTTCATTTTGGTAATTCATAGCTGCTGCTGTGATGGCTGACATAGTGTGGGGACAGCCCCTGGTCAAAAAGATAAAGCTCAGTATCTCCAGCTAAAATATATAAAATCAAATTTATTTTTCCTCTCTGTCTAGCACATAGGATGGAAGATGCCCTATTGTAACTGCATGCAATTGCACAATAATATTTCCTGATGTACAGCCTTCTCAATGCAGAAAGTTTCTATTGCATTAAAGCAGCATAAAGTCTCCTATACCAGGGTCAGAGCTAGGTCAAAATTGCTAGATCTTTCCAGGATGTGAGAGTTTTGCAGAAGTAGACAGAGAGAGACACTCTGGATTAATCTGTGACAGGTAGAAAAATGTTCTTATTTAGGAATCTGAGCGAAGTTTTAGTCTCTAAGATTTGGCAGCTGTATGCCATAAAGATAGGATTTCTGTAAGTACTGCTTGCTGAATCCAGGTTCATTAGTTTGCATCAATGTCAAACATTCACTATACAATACATTCTCATCTCATGGAAAGGAGGCGTCTGAGAAGCTCTTCTTGGTGACATTGGGTGTTAGAGATGTAATTCAACCTGTTTCACAGTCAAGAGTGTTGCTTCCATTAGTTACAGGGAAGCTGTAAGATGGTGTGGAGGGAGAAAAAGTCATACTTGTCATGTTCCTTTTTCACAGCTGGTGCTCTGCTGTGCTCAGTATGTTTAATGGGAAGGGACAGATGACATCGGAAGTTCTCTCTCAAGGGCTACAGGTACTAACTGAATCAGGCAAGTGGCAAGCTAGTCCTGTGTAACACGAACAGCAGTAGTACTACTAATATGCCAAAGAAACATGCTGGCACATCGTATTGAAACAGCTTTTGGTGCTGACTGACCCAGAAGACAGTTAGGGTTGGTGGTAGAAACAGTCCAGGAGAAAATCCCAGATCTGAATACGGACTTTAAAACACAGCTTCTATCTTCCTCTTTTATGGTGTGTCAACATGTGCTTTCTTCTACGTGCAAAGTAAACTAAAGACAAATGACTCCTACCAACAAAAAACCAAAACCTACCTATCCTACAGAAAATTTGTTTTTTCACTTTATTTCATGCATAACTCAGAAAAAAGTAAGTGTACACTGCCTACATAGAGTATTTAAATCCAAAAACTGGCTCAAAACTTCGGCCATGAAACCATGGTATTAGGAAACATCCATTATGTGTTGCACAGACACAACATTACATGTTGTCCCATTAAAATGTTATGCACACTCCAAGTCATCAGACATTTCACTTCACAGTAGATATGATACTCTTACATAATCCTTTAATAAACATGGAAAGTGCCCAAGCCAGGATCTTAATGTCTGTCTATACACAAACAACCTGCAATCGCAATTTAAAAAGGGAGCAAAAATTAGATATTTTAAATTCAATTTTCAGCTTTAAATGCATGCGTTCTACAGAATATAAAATAAAAAAAAAACTTACAGGTTCTACAAATTCAAATTTCTTTTTCTCTTGCACTTCTTGAATTTTAAAAACATATTCTAATGATGCTTCATAGAAGTTTTGATGTTCTCTGTCAATCTGTGTATCTGCCTAAAAGACAAAATGAAATACATTTTGAAATACAACATTGATTTACTCACATGATCGCTTTAAAACCAGATTTTGTCATTAACAAACAGAGTTTCCATAAGATTACTTTACAAGCTTCATGGGGTTCAGTTTTCTTCCTGAAAATTAGAATACCTACTTAAAATAGCTAAACACAAGTTTAAGAAGTTAACATTTTAGCCTCATGCCTTTTCCCTCCATTCCTTTTTGGGTTCCTCTTCCTTTTTGCACTTTAATATTCAAGTTTTCAGGTGAGCCTGCAGGGAAACAAAGAAAGGTGGCGGCAGGAATTCTCTCCCTCTGATGTGGCAAGTTTAGAAAAAGAAACAGAAGGAAGTATGACAGGAATTAAGGAGGGGCAAAAAGATAGTTAATTCTATTGAAATGCTTGAGTATCACATGTAGTGAAATAATATCTATTTCTTAGCTTCAAATACCTTCCCAAGAAAGTATCTTCTCTCTTAAATAGACTGTCTTTAACAACGACATCTTGCAACTTACTATTTCATACTATGAGTCACATGCTTTTAAAATATAAACATATTTAAGTCCTTAACCTCATAAATCAATTATTTTTCCTGCTTTAATTTTCAAATGACAGAACTAGACAGCAATACTTGTCAGAAGTGCCTGAATAATACTACTTGACATGAAGATCCAGTACCAAAACAGTGTCTTCTGCCTAAACAGCTAAAGAATTAACTCTTATCTGCTGATAAAGAGTAAAAGGCTTTTATCCTCGATTTAAACAGGCCATGGGAGAGGGGCCTAACAGACAAGCAGTGTAGAATGTGGGATAATGCTTAAAGAAGAGATACAGATTCCCTTTTAATTAATTCTCCTTTGTAACAAATCATTTTCTCAAGCATTAGTTAGGTTCTGGTCGTAGGTCAAAAAGAAATTTTATCAAGTATCGACAATGTAAGACTAGTTCAGCTATTTTTGACATATGCCAGTTAAAATATAGCAGTATTCTTCTGTATGTTCTCTAGTTCTATTCTGGCATTAAAAATAACAAATATGGGGAAACTGGAAAAGCTAGATGTTGTCTTCCCTTGACAGCAAACATTAAACCAGCATCGTAAAAGAGGTTTAGTACTTTTAACAGTACAAATGCAAAATGTTAGTGTTTTCCTTCAGGCAGAACTTGGTCATCAATAGCAGTATATATAATTAACATTGCTTTTTAAATCAAGGACTTACTCCTATTGTGATTTGGCTGCACAGACTCTTAACAATATTGATCACTTCCCTAGCACAGTGCTCTAACACCACTTCAAAGCATGGGCCTCAGTGATATGGTCCAAATGATTCCGTACTAGCATTTCCCTCCCATGCCTATAAAAAACTAATCAGGAGATTAAGTACACAAACTAATATTATGAAGTAGAAATCAAGCACTCAAAATTCCAATAATTAAGTGCTTTACCACAGAATTAACTGTGCCACGTGCCATTCATATACTGCGTTTGGCTACTGTTTTCTTTGATACTCTGTTAATAGTTTCACGATAGAATAATAATTTGACAAAAAATGTATCACAAAGGCAATGCTACACAGCTGAACAGAACCAGGCGCCACCACTCTGGGACATGATTCCAGCAAGCCCTTGCTCACACAAGTGCAATCAATAAGCACTTGAGACAGACCTCGGCTTTCACATTTAATTGTAAGCAAATAATAGAATCTAGTTTTAGAAATTAGCTCTTTCAGGCTTTGACTCAGAAAAAGTATTTAAACACCTAATTAAACCCAACCCTATTCTGAATAGCATTTAAGCAGATTGTAGTTGTAATGATACTTAGGACAACCAAGTGCCGTCTGAAATGTGGATGGGTTTGTAAATTAAGGCCATAATCATCACTAGTGTTCAGGGCTAAATCATCATTCTGTAGAAGCTTACAAATCTGTGTGAACACCAAGGATTCAGAGTCGTAAGAAGCATTTTGAAAGTGATCTTAAAGTTTCAAAAGCTGAAAGTTTTTCCTATGACTTCAAACTGCATGTGAAAAATAAAAAGATTTGATAGATATGATTTTGAGTCTCTACTTGTACAATATCTAGTTATAGTGAGTAATATTTTCATTGATGTAAGATACAACTAAAACATATACCAGAGCTTCACATAAGCTTGGAGACTGGAACCTTTGCTCTATATTTATGCCTGATTCTGGAATAGATCTCAGAGAAATAAATCAGGAGTTTATTAACTTTCTCACATCACTCAATTCTGACAATTTTCTGCTCCACTGTAGACTTCTGTGGGAACTAGAAAGACAGTATTATGAAGTTTCATTTTGATGCTAAAGGGAAGAAAAGTCTAATCATCTACATAAACTGCACAAGCAGTCTTGCAGGCTCAAAATATCCAACACATTTCAATTAGATACCTATATGCAAACCAGTCTCTATAGAATAAGTTCAGACCACTGAACTTTAGATGCCTAATTAAGGTGTTCTCTATTGCACTCAAGTGAGATATGTAGCCCAATAGCCCAAGACAGTACGAGAACTACTCCTTGCTCAACCCAGTACTCTTTAATCCACATAACATGATGAGGTACCAAGAAACCTCATCATTCAAAGAAACAGTGGGTTAAAACAGAAGTATTTTTCAGTGTGCCAGTAGCAGTTAAAAAATGGTATTTCCATCTCACTAAATGCCTGACATTAGCTTGAGGCAAGGACTTCCCTTCACTTGCATTGAGCACTAAAGCCCCAGCTGCCAGCATCACTTGGTTCTTTGCTCGTGCCGTGGTCCAGTGAACTCCATCCTGGATGTACAGGCTATAAATGGGGCTCACCCAAATCACTCTGGATGTGAGTCAACAGCCACCACTCCAATTTCGGGCCAGGAACTGGTGCTTGGCCTCATTTTATTTACGATACAGATACAGGCCAAAAGTCTCCCCAGTTGACGTTTTTGGTACAGATTTGCTGTTGTACCTTCAACATATGGTGGGTCTATGCTGCTGATTCAGCACACCTGTAGCTGCATAAAAATCGGACAAGACAGAAATGACAAATTATTCTCCTAGATGCTTCACAAGTGGGGCATCCAGCAAAGGAAAAAACCTCAGCCTCAGTTACAAGATTTTTAAATCCAGAGATGTCACTTAAGGACACAGTGGAAAAATTTATTCTGGTTTTCCATTAGTTTATATACTTGAGCCAAATCCTTTGTTATTCTACCACAGTTTATTAGATTCACAGTTGGTACTTTTCACTTCAGTTGCTTTTTTTAGACTGCAATTATTCTCATGTCTCAAGAGTAAAATATTTTATTTTTTTATTTTGTTTCTAGTCTGGAGTAAATTGGTGCTTAAATTCACTTTTCCACATTTTGATAAGAAATTAATTAATAATTTTTTTTTTTCTCAGCTGGTGCTTACTCTCCAACAGAACTGCATCTTTATCAATACACAGGATATTTACGGAAAAGTAAAAGCTGTACATCTAAAATTTTGACAAAAAAGTGGAACAATTAACCAGTCCTGCATAACTAATGTCTTATCTAGACTGATTATTCTATAGACAGCAATATCAAATCAGGATTATAAACATCATTAGAAATGTTGAATTGCTAAACCTCATTTAATTTGAATTATAGTATTACTGGTAAACTTGAAATAGTATTACTGGTTTAACAAGGGCAAGTGTAGGGTGCTGCACCCGGGGAGAAATAACCCCCTGCACCAGGACAGGTTGGGGGCTGACCTGCTGGAGAGCAGCTCTGAGGAAAAAGACCTGGGAGTCCTGGTGGACAACAGGATGACCATGAGCCAGCAATGTGCCCTTGTGGCCAAGAAGGCCAATGGCATCCTGGGGTGCAACAAGAAGAGTGTGGCCAGCAGGTCGAGGGAGGTTATCCTGCCCCTCTACTCTTCCTTGGTGAGACCCCATCTGGAGCACTTGTCCAATTCTGGGCTCCCCAGTTCAAGAAAGACAGGAAACTGCTGGAGAGGGTACAGCAAAGGGCCACAAAAATGATTAGGAGCCTGGAGCATCTCTCTTACAAGGAGAGGCTGAGAGACTCAGGTCTTTTTCAGTCTTGAGAAGACTTAGGGGAGATCTAATCAATGCTTACAAATACTTAAAGGGAGGGTGTCAGGAGGACAGGGCTGGTCTTTTTTCAGTAGTGTCCAGTGACAGAACAAGAGGAAATGGGCACAAACTTGAGTATAAGAAGTTCCACCTAAACATGAGGAGGAACTTCTTTACTGTGAGAGTGGTAGAGCACTGGAAAAGGATGCCCAGAGAGGTGGTGGAGTCTCCTTCTCTGGAGACATTCAAAACCCGCCTGGACAAGTTCCTTTTCAACCTGCTCTGGGTGGACCTGCTTTGGCGAGGGGGTTAGACTAGGTGATCTCCAGAGGTCTCTTCCAGCCCCATATGAGTCTATGATTCTATGAAAAAAAATTCTGTGATTTGTGACTGTGTGATGGTTACACCTTCAGTGAAAACTCCATCGGCAAAGCAATCCCTGTGATTTAAGAGTGACTGTGACAAGAGTAATCCTATCAAAATAATTTTTAACTACTTTAACTACTTTTGGCTGGTTTTACTTTAATTTCCCTCAAAGACAAATCATAATTATTTCTACCAACATACTGAAAAGCCATGGAATCCTCCTGTTAAACTAGCAATCTTCACAGTTTATTGGGGTTTGTTTGGGTTTTTTTAACAGAAAAGAATTAGCCGTACAGACTCTTCAAAGCTGAAGTTGTGGATACAATTTCAGGGCATGATGCTGCAATCTCAGAATAAGGTGAAAAAGAATAAAAAAGAAGACTAAAAAAGCATCATTAAAGTGATCTCAGTTCAATCTTCCAGATTAAAATTTATGTGAAACAGAAACATAATTTTGTAGAGTAATAAATTAAATAGCAAAAAAACCCCAATTATTTATTTGACTTTCAAATATTCTACATACACCCTATAAAAGTCACATTTTTATTGCAGTAGTATAATTCTGTTGTTGCAACCAATAAACATTAGCTGTACTTGAAGTACACAAAGTTGGACATATAGAACATTGCCTTGTTAAAATATTAAACTCTTATTAGGGTCATATTAATCCCAGGCAAGAATTTATATTCACAACAAGCGTGACTACAAGAAATCACCAAAATTTCACATTAACGAAATAGAGCATGTCTTGAAGAGAACTAGATTGTTATCATGATCTCTATGCAAATGTGAAACTGAGAAAGAGTGTGTTTGGTGCTTACATCTTGCAAATGAGATTCTTTCTTCTTTGCTGATAAATTTAAGTGCTTCTCTAGGATGGAATAATATTTTTCACTTTCCTTGTCAAACTTCTTCTTCCCATCCTGAAAAACAAAACATTGCCAAGTAAAGTAGTTGACTAAATTAAATATCACAGCTAACTTAAATTAAAAGAAAGAATAGCTGCCAAAATATGTCTGGTTCTAAAGCCATTTTTGTTTGTTCCAGTGTTTTTAGGGTTTAATTCTGAATTGGGCCTGAAGATACTAAGAGGACTGATTCAATTATTAAATGCAACATTAAGCAGGACTTTTCCCATAAATAATACACCCACATAAATATATATGAGGTTTTATATAGGTGGCATCTTGCTAAGGAGGCATTTAATACAAAATAATATTCCTCAAGATTCAAGATGTACCTACCTGTCACACTGTTGCTGAATAAAAACATTGTGGAAGAGGTAGGTGAATATAACAAATTTGACGATGATTTAGGCCTATCCTTTGCATTTAAGACTAATATGCTTATTTTCCACCCACACTTAAAATATGAGAATGATGGAAAAGTATATACATGGTTGCAAAATGAAATTGGTTCCAAAAGTCTGTTTCCAATAATATTTTGATGTGTCTGAATATTTAAGCTTGTCTCATTTAAAAGAGTTATCCTGCCTTTTTCCTTTCCCACTCCTCTTAAGTTTTTCCCATTATGTGCAGACAATCCTTACATTTCTACTGTAAGACTACTTTAACAGATAATAGAAAAGAAAGCTACTCTTATGAGTAAATTAAGAAACATCTTATTTTCTGTAACCTAATTTAGAATTTGTACTTCAGTTTTTTAAAAATCAATTATTCTGAAAATTAAATCTGAAATTTAAATCTGAAATTTAAATCTGAAATTTAAATCTGAAATTTAAGAAAAAGCTTTCTAAAAAGCTTTTCCATCTTTCAAAAAGTACCAAACTTCAGGAGGTAGGAGAAGGAATTATTAATTATTACATATAATTAATTATAAAAATATGATTTTTAATTACAAAATTATATCTCCTCTAATTAAGAACAACACTCTGCCAGTGACTTTTACATTCTTAGGTAAGTCCTAAGGATTTTTTCTAATGATTAACAAGTTGAATATTTGAGAAAACAAAGAAAACTCAAGACAACCAGTCCTACTTACACATGTGAAAAAGCTATTAACGGTGAAAAATCTAATTATTGGACATAATGCAGTAACATCAGGTCATCTACAGAACTGCAGTGGCTCTTTTCCTGACCCCTTTCTCCCTAGAAATTGTTACATACAAAACCAAATAACTTGCCTGCATTGTGGCACCAACCTGTTTATCATATTATGCAGACACAGAAATAAGAAATAGAAGAACTGAATGCCATGAATGAAAACTTATCACCCAGCTGTAACAACAAACTATTTACTAAGTAGCTCCAGTGACTAAGGTTCACAATGGTAATTATACTCGATTATAAAACACATCATATACTTTCTATCCTGCAAAAAGTTCAAATATATTTAGTATGCAAAATATGCACAATTTATTGTTCTCATTACCTCACAATAGAAATATCTTCAAAAGACATCATAAGGAAAAGGCGGCACTTGACCCAACAAAACATTAATTAACAATATAGAAAAATTCCTAATGCCTTCTATATTTAGTTACAGCTCTGCAAATATGAGGGGGAAAAAGGCAAAAAGGAAAAAAAAAATGCTTGTATTTTGCCTAGCAAGGGAAAAAAAGCCATATGAATTATCTTCCAAAATCTTTCACAAACACATTCTTAAAAGAAAGAGAGAAAGCAGAAGGCAGGACTCGCCAAATGACTGATAAGCCAAGAAATCAACTTTTGTGGGACTGAAATCACAGATTGGTTCCACAGCCACAGTTTTACTGGGAAATACTCAACTGCCAGGTCTTTATGATCAAACAAGAGCAACTTGAGTATCTCAGTATCTCCTTCTGTCACAAACAAAAATTCAGTTTAGTTGATCACACACCAAAGACTTCCTTTTGAATAAAAGGTGCAGTTCCATACTGTCTTATCTTTTGAGACAATGATGTTAAGGTGCTGGACGAAAAAAAAATAAATAACTGGATGATTTTAAAATCCAAGTGACACAGGTGGCAATTCACCATCTTGAGGAAATCCTCAAGTCAAAGACAACTGATGCAATATAAAATGCAAGGAGAATTACTTCTCAATTTTTTTTCCATGCCACTGAAAGTTGGGAGAGGAGACTGCTTGATCACAATATTGAAGCCTTTGGTGACAAGCTGCCGGAGTTCAGTGGTGGATACCCTGTCCAGGAGACCATCTACTTCAGAATGTAACTTGCCATGGCCTTTGACAATAAAGCCTGGTGCAGATGACTTTTGCTGCACATCTGGACTCGATGTTGTGCTTGCCTTTGCTGCCTCAGAGGGAGGACCTAAGGAATGAGATGGGGAACCACAAGCAAAGCTCCTGCAGGATTACCTGTGTCAGACTGGGAATCACCCAGCCCAGCACCAATTCCTTCCCTGATAGATTTATTATATGAGCAGTAGGTATTCCTCTTGCCTCGTCAACAGTTTGTCTCAGAATCAAGGTGATACACAGTTAATGGATAATCTGAAGTCAGGTCGGGCACTTGAGCTCACATCAACAGTAGCGTAACCTTTACTAACAAGAGCCAGGAAAGCGTCTGAAGTCTAAGTAAGAGTCAAAAAGGAAGGTGTGAAAATGGGACTTGGCCATAGATAGCTCCTCTTCTATCAGACAGCACCTCAAATGCACGTCAATGCCAAGACAGACCCATTCATACATCTAATTTGGTTCCTGGTGCACGAAACCCAGCTGCTTACATCTTGCACTTACATCTACAACAAACCCTAAATCATGTATCACACTGTCTATTCTACTTACATATAAAAAGGAAAATGCAGAAAGTAAATGATTACACCTAAAGAGATACAACTCTCCCAAGAGCAAGAAAAAAAAATTACAACTCCAAATAAGCTACTTGTGGTTGCAAATCATCTTGTATCTCATCTGAAGCTTCACTAAGATCTCTGTGACACCATTCGTGAGGACATAGACAATTTGAAGGCTCTCTTGGTCTTCTGCCAGCACTGCCAGGCCCCTCCCAGACTGTACCTCTCCTGCTGTAACAGTGATACGCCCAACCACTACCCTCACAGTTTTTATGGCAGTTAAGTTAAAGAGAAAACTAATAATTTGGAGCTTCCTTGATATCAGGACAACTTCTAGCCCGAGCGCAGTGTTTCCAGGGACAGCACATCTTCTGAACTTCTTCCTTTTTTTCCAGATTTTAACACAAGAAATTTCTTGCTTCAAAGCTAGAAGCAGACAAAGTAAAGAGAACAAGCAGAAGTGGACAGAATGAAGATCTGCCTGGCAGTTTTGCCTGCATTAGTGTCTTCGCTGGGTGATACTTCTGGGAATAAGGCTGTGGTGCCAGCAGGACAGTGTTTCTGGCGCTGTACTTATCACTCAGACAAATTTCTGGGAAAAGGCTAAAAAATACTGGCTCCAACAGGTGGGTGAGTTCCCTTTGCTTGAAATGTCCTCTGCTATGCCAGTAAAAACCGCATATTTGCATGCCTCTGAAAACTGTTTACTTCATAAAAATTAACAAAAAGAGATATACTCAGAAGCAGGTGATTCATTTTCTGGAAGAGAAGAAACACTTCAGCTTATGCCAAGATCACTCTCACCTCGCACACTCAGCCGGTGACTCACTGCACACAGGCGCATCCGAAGTGCAGTCACAGACCCATCTCCTTCCAGCTTTAGCTTTTTCTTCTACAACCCTCAAAACACTCTTATACACAGCTGCTGCCCAAATTAATCATCTGAATCCTGGCCCCAGCAATCTGTGCCCATGAGACTGAGAATCCTGCTTTTCCACATGCCAGGAGGTTTACAAAGAAGTTTCCATGCGAAAGAACCTGCTCAAAGCTTAGGAAACAGAGAGTTGCTTCTGCCTCTAGATTCCACGTTGGATCAAACCCCGAGGAGAAGAGAGAAGTGGTTGGATGAGAAAGCTCGTGCTGTACTGTTCCCAGAACAGCCAGCACCAGACATGACACAAAGCATAAGGTACGGGGCCATTAGGATGATGCTATTCCTGACTTCTGCCCTATGTCTCTTACTCCCTTTGCCTCCCCCTACCTTTCTACCTTGCACATCCTTCCTCCACGTAATCCTCATCCTTTCTCTTCGCCCTGGAAACTTATCAATCATTTCTGTCAAAATATCAGCTACAACTTAGAAAAAACTTGCATGACATAATTAAGACAGTGCAATAAAAATAAAAATATAAACAGTAAAAGAGAAATTACAAAATACTATTCCTTGACGTATTATATACTGATGTGTAAGTCAACAATACCTTTGGTATAGATGAAGTTCTGCAGCCTCTAAGCCCCGTAAACCTGTCTCTATGGTTGTTTAAACGTTCTCAGGTGCATCATGTCACTAAGCCTTAAGTCAGCTCAAATCAGCCATATTTATAGCTTTAAATGCTTAAAATTTATAACAAGCCCATCAGGAAAGCCCTTAACTAAACACTCAGTTTATAACATGTAGTAGAGTCTTACTAACCTCTAGAACCATCTTGACAGAGTACAGTCATGTAGTACCAGATCAAGATACTACTAATTATAGATGTGCTAGTTAGAAGTTTAACTCAAAAGATGTTCTCCCACCCCTCTTGTTTTACAGGTATCTATGGCTGTGAAAAGATCAAACATCAGTTAATAAAAAGGTAACTCAATTGAGTCAGATATTATTTTTCTGATCAGAAAGATTTTGATTCTGTGCTGTAACTAATCATACACATGCAACAAATCTACAAATTTTAACCACCAGTTGTATTTTTTGATGTAAAGCAGAGTTATATTTTAAAGCTGCTTTCTCTCTTCCAGTGGGAACATCAAGAAATCAGACATTTTTGTAATGGTGTAAGTTTGCCTCTACTTTGCGTGCAGTATTTTATGTCACAATTGTTGTATGTACCTTCAGAATTATTGTATAAACTATTCCTCTTTATTTCTCATGAATAGCCTTTGCCATCCTTC